ATATACAACCATGTTTGTAGTGTTAATAGGGTGTAGAGATATTCAACCATGTTTGTAGTGTTAATAGGGTTAAGAGATATTCAACCATGTTTGTAGTGTTAATAGGGTGTAGAGATATTCAACNCAACCATGTTTGTAGTGTTAATAGGGTGAAGAGATATACAACCATGTTTGTAGTGTTAATAGGGTGTAGAGATATACAACCATGTTTGTAGTGTTAATAGGGTGAAGAGATATACAACCATGTTTGTAGTGTTAATAGGGTGTAGAGATATACAACCATGTTTGTAGTGTTAATAGGACGTAGAGATGGCCTATCAAGTGTCTAGGTACAATTACTGAATGGTGACGAGTATGTATATTATCAAAGGTAACCAAGAGTTGTGGACATGATGTCCAGTCTGTAAGTGTCGGCCATCTTGATAAAAGGATGACCATTGTCCATGGTTGCAGTTTCAAGTTTTATCATCGCTTTGTCCTGACTGTTCTTATCATTCTTTTCTATTTTGATACTTCTCCCAGGCCTGTTTCTGGCTAAGTCTGGAGTCAGGACTACTGACTGATGTCCAGAACAACCTGTTAAGGATCAGTCTGGTTTAGAGATGTGATATGCCCAGCTTTTATACGGCTGAAGGGTTCTAAAGGTTGTGTTGTTGGTTCAATATTGAGTTGTCAGAAAAAACTCTTTTTAGCTCGCCTGTTGTAAGAACAGAGAGCTTGGCTTACACCCCAGGCGTGAGCATGACAACGGCCCGGGTCGGGTCAGAGGAGTAAGTTATCTGATGTGAAGACTTGCCAAGATGCCATTGATTCAGTATGTGTGCTGGCTTGCTGATAAATTGAATGAAGACTTATTGGGGTTGAATGTTGATGTAGTGAAGCCAATATTAAAAAAATATTTTTGAATTTTATTTTTTTACACACAATCACCAGGTTAAAAAAAAGTTTATGGTGTGAAAAATTATATATACAATTTTAGAATGATAATGCTTTGAGACCATCTCTGGTGTCCCCTTCTAGTAATCCAGTAATACTACAATCATTATGTGCATTCCTGACCACTGTTGCTTCTTGTTGGCAAGTATACACGAACCCATTGACAGTGTTAAAAAGTTTGTTAGAGATTCTGGTCGTTTTGTGCAAAGAAATGCTGAATTCATTAATTGAGAAAATTGAAACACTTCAAAGGCCTTACAGAGGGATTTGGGGGATAACTCTGGGAGTTCCTGAAATTGACAAACAACCTCTAGTCGGTGACCTTTTGGCAAGTTCTTTTCTTGACCCTTTGTGTGTAACGTAAATCATCAATGATATTTTCGGTGAATTTGGGGGAAAGGTTAACAGTATTTTATACGAAAAATTTATCATGATGTTGTGTATGTTATCAGTGGAGCATTCCAGCTGTCTATGATTGTGAGACACGAGACAGAGATTTGTCAGTCAGAAGCCTCTAAGTAGGTCAGGCCTTTAGATAATAAAACCCCAAGACTGTGTGTTTGTTTGGTAAATCAGTGTTTTTCTGCTGCCCCGTATTGTTAACTGCTGTAAACCTGTTTCATTGAGTGATAAAGTGACATTTGATGGAAATATTATCGTAACTTTTGTCAAAACTGATGCTGGACACTGTAAATTGTGTCAGTGTGTCTGTCTAACTGTCACAGATAGCTGTCAAACATCCACGGGACTTTGATGTTGTTGTTTTTGTCTCAAGGTGCCATGTTTAACAGAACTGTCACAGATAGCTGTCAAACATCCACGGGACTTGATGTTGTTGTTTTTGTCTCATGTTGCCATGTTGTCAGATTGGGACATCATGTGACAGTATTAAAGTATCTCAGAACATTTTAGTGGTCATTTATTTCTATTTCTAAATGTATTAACCAAGATACTAATAAGCTTTCCATATGAAATGAAAAAATAGTATGCATGAATAACTCACTTGTTTTGATATCAAAAATCCCCAAAGAGGTTGAGATAAAAAAAAATACCATACTATTTTGATTAAATTTGACAGAATAAAAAATTGATTTTATGTTTTTAAAAAGAAAAAGACTGAAAATTCAAAGAAAATGTGTTCAGTTACTTTGATTTTTTTTTTTTTAATTTTCAATTTGTTCCCCTTTTGCAAACCAAATTGTCTGGGTAACAAAGCCAGCGTGACTCGTACATAATGTACTTCCCCGTCTTCATATGTTCTCACATACACTCCGTTTATAAGCAGAATTGATTTTTCTTGGATATTTACATGAGATACTGGCTGTACCCTTTAATACTTTACCCTGACAGGGGTATCATTATGGCATTAAAAAGCAATTCTGAAGCTCATACTATTAAGCTTTTAAATTTTCTTTTTGACTGGCAAAAATTCTAATCTGCCCTATGTATATATTGCTAAGTTCACCGTCAATGAGATTTCTGATTGGGACACTCCCATTTTCCTATGAAATGGACAGTAGAATTATAACATTAGCCATTTATATTTCATTATTCGCTGGTACAGAGGGTTTGATTATATTTGTTTCAATTATTGATCCCAACATATCCCAGGATACTTCAGAAATGCTGGTGAATCGGAAGGATAGCATATCGACCGATTTTGTGTTATCAGTACGTTAATTGATCTTACTTCAGGTTATCTGTTCTATAATTAGAAATACGTTTATCTGAATAATTGACCAGGAATAAATTCATTCAAATCTAATTGAATGGAGTAGTTTCAATGTTAGGCAAGATAAAAGTTGACTTAGAATAGGTCACAGATCTGCTATATTTACTGGTGTGCAATCCTCGAAATTCCAGGGGTTACACTCACTTATGTTCTCTTAAACCCCCCTAGCATACGTCATGACAATATTGAATGCACAGAGTTAGCAATAATTTGATTGGTTTCAAACTGACCTATCGTTTGGCTTTGAAGATAATAACTGACACCTGACTTTGATGCCTGAAAATGTTACCACTAAGCTGCTGGATGATTCCTTTGTTTACATCAAATTATCAAACTAGTCTAATCATCCACAAGGTAGCACATATAGAGCTTTCAATTTTGTCCTGACATATTCCAGGGGTGCAGTTTATGCAAGTGAGTGTAATTACCCTGAGTGAGTGTATGGGAATACCTTGGATGATAGCAGGATCCCAAAGAAATGCCAAGGTCACTGTTGCTATTAGCATTCATGTCTTAATTCATGTCTCACCGATGATTTCTAGTTTAATGATAGAAATAAAGAACGAAATTTTAGCAAAAAAATTATAAAAAAATTAGAACAAATGTTAGCTAGACAACTGAGTCTGTATCAAGTAAATAAAAAAAATCCTGCAGCTTTGATCATGTGTAATCTCAATCTTTAAAAATCTCAAATCAATCTCCTTGGAACCGCTAACATCAAATTTCCTTCTAGATGTCGGGGGGAAAGATCAGAATATTGTCGATCGTGACCTTCAGTTTCATTTAAAATGCAAATTGCACAGGAATCCTTGCCTGCAGATTGGCATTTATTTTCCGAGTCATTTAGACGGAGGCATGGGACTCCCAATGGCTAAATCGTTGGTAATTTAAAACCATAATACCAGAAATGGTTAATGCATCTGCAATTATAACAAATTGAAGCAAAATAGGACATGAGTGTTTGACAGACAGTAGCTTGTGATGTTTGATTAGGGTTTAGTGGTCGTCGGATTGTCAAGGTGGATCAGCCTAATACTACCTTCTGGTCATCCCATCACACGTCACTGCACACATTCAGCAAAGTCCGCTTTGAATGCATGCTATTATGCTTCCGTAACGTATGATTTGTGTTGGCTTTGACCCCATCCCCACACCAAAGTGATGCAATATATATATATATATATATTGTCAGTTTAAAATAAATGTTCATTCTTTATTCCAGTATTTTATCATTATGATTGCCTACCTGTCCCTGGGTTCATACTTTTGATCAGATTGGCACTAACACTGGTGATTGATTTGGTATATGGTAAAATAATTGTCACCACTAGACAAGATGCAGGACAGGGTCGGCCAGTTACTGACCTTTGAACTTACAGTACTTGTTATTGATACCTGACTTAACGCAATCAACTTCAATTACTGTTACCATCAAAATTTATTAATATCCCTTGATATATTGTCAAACCACCTTATAGTGCCAGCACTGTGTTGGTACATTTATGTCAGTTTAAAGGGGTTTTAGTATAGCTCTAATTTATTATTTCAGTTCAATAAATTTTCTTTGACCTAGCTAGTTGTAATCTCATCTTTTAAATATCAATGCTATTAAAGTGTCTGGATTAATATTTTTTCTGTCCACGTGTTACTAAACAATTTACAGAAACATTTCTAACAACCAATAGCTAATGTTTCTCCTTCCTTATCATTACAGGTGAGAGAAAGTGATGAGGCTGATTCTTTCCGAGAGAGGACTGTGCAGCTTTTGGACGACTTCAAAATATCTGGTGTTAATGGCACACGTATCCTTTATCATACCGGTCATCTTTTGGTAGAGTAGGTTATTTCCCTACCTGCATGAAAGGATTAAGTAAACTTACTTGTCATTGTGGCCGAGATATTTTCATGAGCGACTGCCGACTGCTCAGATTTGACAGAACACACTTCCCCTTATGGTCTCAGATAAGTGTCTTTGTGTGTCAATTCAAAATCCAAGATGGCTGACAGCATACATGATCGGTTGATCACGCTGCTTAGTGAACTAGTGAATGTATGTCATCACTTTGTCACTGTAAGCGCAAGACATGTGATACATGCCCTTTATGCCTTTTGTTATACAAGACATACATGCAAAACATAAAATGTTTGTGAAATTGTCAGATTGACAACAAAAGCTGCTTTGAGAAATGACCCTTAACTCCAGCCAGATGTTTGTATGGTGTTTGAGGTGCTGGGACACAATTTACTAAAGTTGATTATAAGATCAAATTATCAAGGAATTCCATTAAGTAATGTAAAGAAAATTATAAAACAGGTGAGTAAATTTGTATGTTTAAGTCCATTTTAAATATATGTAGGGATGAATGGATTAAGGGAACTTAAACTTTTTGTAACAATAATACATTTGAAAAAATACATATTTGAAAAAAGAGCCATTGTTATTTCTGCCAATATAATGGGGTAACATAAGGATGCTATTCCTCATGCAGTATGGGCATTTTCCTTCCCAAAATTGACTTCAATTTCATCTCCAAATTAAGTAAATTTATGGATTTAAAAAGGTTAGGGGAAAAAAAATCAAATCTATTTTGTTATACTTCTAATATGAAGTTAATTTTGAAATGTTAGAATTTTCATTTTAATTATTTAATTTTATTCAAAAGACATGATTTTGCGATAAGTTTATCCCAAAAAAACAAAATCCAATATATTTTTTTATTTGGAGCCAACACCCAGCAAATAATTGCAATTAAATAGGATTGTTTAGAATGATACAAAATATCAGTTAATGATAAGCAAAGAATTAGCAAGAATTTAGTCAATTAATTTCATAATTTTACCATCATATTTATTGTGACCATTGTTTAAAACAAGCTGATGTATGCCATTCTCTGTGCTGTAGGTACTCCAAGGCCTCCATTACCTCCATTCTAAATGCAATATAATCCACACGGACATCAAACCGGAGAATGTTCTCATGTGCGTGGATGAGACGTACATCAGAAAACTTGCTGCGGATGCCTTCGAGTGGCAGAAAATGGGTGCGAAACTACCAGGGTCTGCAGGTAAGCATGATGCCTTTGTTTTGCTACTTTTACTGTGACACACCTCCGTTCCAAAAGAGTTTAGCACTAGAAACCTTGTAAAATGTAGGAATGGTAATATAAACAGACTTATTACACATTAGAAAAGGTGCTCAGGTATTTTCCGGTTTTTGTGAAAAATAAGGGAGCTAGTCATAGATGTAATGTGTGAGGTAGAGTATAAATTTAAAATTGAGTTATTTGTCTGACAGTGACCAAATGGACTCTTAAAAAAATATAAAGTGTCAGTTTTAGGGCTGATGATTGATAGAGTACCGTCAATTCACAATCAAGCTTAAATGACGTACAATAAGGTTATGAGTGTTATTTTGTACTTTATAAGTATGTTTTGCTTTAAAAGTTGTCTCCCTTAATTTTAGAACTGGCATTTACTGGCGGTGCTATCATTTACCTGTGTTATAAGTTAATAAACAAAGACATAATTACTATAAGTTAAGACATTTTACAGGTTTTCTACAGTTTTAAATTCGTTTGGAATGGAGATGAATATCATTTAGGTAGCATACATCCTTAATCTATTACAAAGAAACACAGAACAAGATTCTGTTGAAGACGATTCTTTTAGTGGAGTTTGTCATCAGAGTGGAAGTCCTATCTTGGGAGAAAGTGTTTAAAAATCTTGTCATGCAAGGGAATCGTGAAAGGGTATCAGGGTCATGCAAAGTTAGGTGTTACTAAGGCCTGAACTGTGACCATGACATGTAAAGTTAGGTGTTACTAAGGCCTGAACTGTGAACATGACATGTAAAGTTAGGTGTTACTAAGGCCTGAACTGTGAACATGACATGTAAAGTTAGGTGTTACTAAGGCCTGAACTGTGAACATGACATGTAAAGATAAATAAAACTGTATGTTGATATGGAACAGAATCCTCTTAGTGACGGTGACTACTGTTATATAGGAATATAAAGGTTTGACACGCATACAAGTGATAAATACAGCAGACAAATGTCTGTTATATGAGTTAAAAACTTTGTTTTAAGTCATTGCTATCTATTATGCTTTCCAAAAATTAGCAGAAAAATGAGTGTATCAAATAATCCGAGAAGATATGATAAAATATCATTGTTTCATACTGTACAATGTAAGATATTGCTGTGTAGTTGATTTCATAGTTTGGGTGAAGATACGTTCAAACTTGAGTCAATTCAAATTGTCATACCTACTAACCCCTGAATCTCCCTCTGGTGCAAAAAACCAGAAGAGGGGACTATGAAATAGGTTTGTAATTAACACTAGGGCAAATGTATGAAGGAGCATTTATATTAAGTAATTGATACAGAGAGGAACATTATGGGAAGACATGTTATTAAAGGATTTTAATGTATTTTTTCCCCTATGTAGTGAGTACAGCACCAAAGGAAAAACCACTGGATCCTGCAAAAATGTCCAAAAACAAAAAGAAAAAAATGAAAAAGAAACAGAAGAAGCAACAACTACTGCTGGATGAGCAGATGAAACAGATAGAGGAGTTTGAGAAGGATAAAGAGCAGGTAAGTGACAGATAGAGGAGATTGAGAAGGATAAAGGTCAGGTAAGAGACAGATAGAGGAGTTTGAGAAGGATAAAGGGCAGGTAAGTAGGTATACCTGTTTCTGTATGATGGCCAGAGGGCCGACTCTGGTAACCCTGATATACTACACAGTAGGTGCCTTTCAAAACTAGACTGCATATCTTTTAATTACAATGTCAATGTCTTTTGTTGTAGTAGAAGTCCCCCACNGTGAAATTTATACTTCTAGTAAAAGGAAACTGTTTAAGTTTATATGCCAAGTAAAGTGTGATTTATTTAACGACAAATCTTTTTCACTTTTTTTCCTTTAGGTGTTAAATGCTTTTCCACATGAATATTTCTAATAACACGGCCATAAGTTATAAAAAAACATTGTCAGTGGTTCACATGGCACACATATGTCATTGTTATTATTCTTTTATTTGGCTTTGAACAAATTGTGGGAGAACAGGGATCTTTCCCCATATTGATGTTAGGAAAGAATAATGGCCACCCTCCAATAAGATTCTTGACAGTTTAACTTTGGCTGACAGGACTCTCCTGGAGGGTAGATTTCTTTGTCTTATGCGCAAGGTGGAAAAGATCCTATAAATCTCCATTGGTGGTCTTGAGTTTTAACTAAAAACATAACTAGAGATTAGTTTCTTGTTTATTTTGGGAAATGCTGTCTTAAACTACGACAACCAAGTTTGTTCCTATAAATGACCTTCACCTTTAAACCAATTAAAATCCTCCAAGAATTGCAGTCTTTAACTAAGACAACCAAGTTTGTTCCTATACATGACCTTCACCTTTAGATAAGTTAAAATCCTTGAAGACTTGTATCTCAGTTCTTACACTACTGTATCATTGAGAATATATAAATGTCAGCAATAATCTACACACTTGCCATTACAAACACAACCTTGTCATGGAAGTGATGATATGTGTATATTTACAGAACGAGTATATGTCCCAGAGTGAGAGTACCCAGAGTCTACCCCAGCAAGAGGGCATGGACCAGTCCGAGGGTACAGACACGTGTAACACCTTAAACAGCGACTCATCCCCCACGGAGAACAGTCTGGCCAACTACGAGGACCAAGAAAACTCTGAGAACAACAAAAACGACCTGAACATTATTGAAATAGAAAACAACAATGCAGGTATTGTGAATTTGTTGTTTGTTTATCACAGGGTGGCCGCTGATGGTATTGATGGGAACTTAATTTACCTTAACAAACTGTTTACTTTAATATATAATATAAATGGGTGTAATTAAAATCATGTCTTTACAAACAATTGGCAGCATTTCTTGTTGATTAAATTACTTAATTTGTGTTTTAATTATATAGCTGCTGCTTTTTCATGTTTGGAAAAAAAAATGAACATATTTTGGATGCATTCATTTGAATTTGAACAGTATTTTACTTTTTCAAATCATCAATTCTATACTGAGCAGTAACGTTTGTTTTATGCCAAGTTTTGTATTTTACAGATAACAGGGCAGAAAAGGAGAAAACCAAGACAGAGAAAATAAACGAGGAAAATACACAGCAAAGTGAAGGCGAAAAAAGTCCGCCATTAACGAACAAAAACTATGTAGAACCCACAATCATCAATGATGGTGGCGGCACCACAACGATCATTGTGCAAAATGTGGCTCCAGAACAGGTGCCTGTACCCCCGATATGTAACGGGCATGAATCTCAGGGGCGACAGGAAGGGGACGGAGACTCTGTAAACAAAAACATTATGTCTCCGGAGGCTACACAGCAGGTCTCGTCAATGAACATTTCTGAAAGTGAGGCTATATCAAATAAAACAGAAGTGGAGAGCACAGACAGCACACCTTGTGCTATGGAGGAGAGCAATAACGGCGAGTCCAGTCCAGAGTCCAAAGGTCGCGATCGCAGCCTTGACGACGATTCTAGCCAAGCTAACAGCAACCACACCGATGATTCCTCAGGTGAGCATCTGTGGGACCGTGTCTGTCAGTGATGTCAGATTTATGTTGTATAAGTTGTATGTTCAGTTCTTCATTTGAGTATATTTCATGTAATACTTAGTGATTCATGTTTTGGTAAGTGAAATTGAAAACATTGAAAATACTTCTGTTTTATTTAAAACGAAAATCATTGTTGTTATTATTGTTATGAAGCCTGTTTAGTCATGCAAATGATGGCTGGACTTTAAGAATTCCTGTACCATTGCCAAAAACTATCACTCTGCATTGGAAACTGATTTTTCCAGCATGATTGACCAAAAAGAAAAGTATACCTTACAGGACATTTATGAAAAGAAAAAGAGATGAAAAAAGTAAAAAATATTCAACTGTAGTGTTTTCAGTGTAAAAGTTCAGCTTGTCTAAACCAGGATTCAAACCCTGGTGGACCTCAAATTGTTGCTCTAACCAACTAAGCTATATGGTCAAACAAGTCCCACACCTAATATGCACAACAGTTATATATCAGAAACGAAATGAAGGGGAGGTTACTGTACATTGTATATACGGAAAACCCCCACAGTGGAATTCTAGAGTGTTTTGCCTGCAGGGGGACAGGGTTCCTCAGCCTGTACTTGTTAAATGTTTTACTTTAAAGGCCCTCACTGTAAATGTATTAGTAGGAAACTATATTATTGCGATTTTAAGCTTTCTATTAGAAAAAATGAAGTGTTCATGTTGTGTTGCCAGTAGACTTATTCTCCCCCTTCACCAACTGTACTGGATCCTTTTCTGAGAATGTCTTGTACTTACGTGCTATTGATTTTACATTTAGAGGATAACCCTATTGTATTTAGAGATTTGAAGCAATATTTATATCCTGATGATACGGTCCCAAATTGAGTCTTACTGGTAAAGAGGAGCAGAGTTAGTAAAATGGATATTGGCGACGTAAAATCACAATATATTGCTTCAAATCTGAAAATACCAGATGGTTATCCTCATTCTAATTCACTGAAAGTATACAACCACAAGAAACGATGATTTTAAGATACATTTTACCGTTTTCTTTAAAATCTTGATCGCTCAGCTGTGGATTGGTCATGTCTGGAATATTCAAAGTTAAATTGACCTTTGAGGGTCACGCTATTGTTATTGACGTAAACGAATAATCAATTTCATGACGTGTCGGGGTCATCCACATCATTAACAATCGCCATCCAGGCTTCATATGCAAATGAGAGATTTCTGGACTGTAATATTGTGGTTATACTGATGCATATTAATTTGATTGACCAATCAAATGCCATGTTACATATCAATTGAATCAGAATGTAATTTATTTGCCTTTTGTTACAGCACGCAAACTAAGCGGTGTGGTCGACCCGGTGAGGGAAATTTGTGATATACCTGTGAAGATAGCGGACTTAGGAAATGCCTGCTGGATAGTAAGTACTGTCACAACTTCACAGTAGTACAATAAATAACTGATGCTTGAATACCAAGAATAATGTTAACAGATTTTAACACATCTTAATCAGTTTGAAAATATGTAATGTCAAATAAAAACTTAGTTTATGTTCCAACAATTTGGAACTGAAAACTTTTCAATTCCTATTTGTGTTCTAAACAATTATTCATACCAAACTGATGAATCTTATTCCGAAAAGAATATCAAAGTTTTCCTTTATTCACAAACAATGTACGTACCAAACGTGTCGGAACGCACGAAGACTGACTGCTATGACTGCGTGAGTGATTTGTATTGCTTACCTGTACAACGATGTGATGAAATTGTATGTTTTATATATCACTTGATCTCAGGACTACATCTGAGAGTCATATTGAAAATGTTTTCTACCTTTATACGATATCCCAGATTCTATTTCCTCAGTTTATTGCTGTATATTAATAGCTCTAAAATATTGCAATATATTGTAAAATGAAAACATTTGGTAAATTGTAATAGTTTTGCCCCTGATTTATTTTCGCCTTTGAATGCGAGGACAAATATTTTGGATGCATAGAATATTATGATTTACAATTATCATTCAGGTTTTACGTAACACTGAAAATAAAAACATTTGGTATTATTCAACTCTACCTATTTCAAAGTATTAAATTGAATGTAAATTGTAATAGTTTTGCCCCCAATTTATTTTCGCCTTTGAATGTGAGGACAAATATTTAGGATGAATAGAATATTATGATTTACAATTATCAATCTTAATTGAGGAGAAAATATTTTCAGTGTTAAGTAAAAACTGATTATCATTCAGTTTTTATTTAACACTGAATATATTTTCTCCTCAATTAAGTCTTGACTTGCCCTAAAACAAGCACCGTACTGATTAATTTTCGTATCCATGACAAGTGTTATGTTGCTTTGCTGTTAAAACACTGGAGTGGCAGTTTTGGACGTAACATGTTTTCTCTGTGGTAATACAGGTCTGTGATTATGGAAGTTGTATCTAACACCTGATTTCTGTTTTTCAGCATCACCACTTCACAGAGGACATCCAGACGAGACAGTACCGCTGTCTGGAGGTCCTGATCGGGGCCGGCTATGGCGCACCAGCCGACCTCTGGAGCACTGCTTGTATGGTAAGGCTTTAGGACTGCTATAGACCATTTCATTGTATCAATTATTCACAGACAACTACTTGTTGGCAGCATGCTTAGAGCCAAACTCCAGTCAAACTAACTGATAAGAGTAGTAATTTTCTTGATTTCCACCCAGATACAGTTAAATATGTGTACATTGGTTAGGTAAATGGTTATTTAAGTATCTTTGTGATATAGACAATGTCTGGCTGATAATTACTGAACAAAAAATCATATTTACAATTGGAAAATTTTAATATTCTTTTATAAGTTTAATGAGTTGGTCGAAGATTCTCAGGTATACTGGTTACTGGTATAATACTTACCATACTTAATCATTTTCCCCTTTACACTGGAAGTACACATTCTTTTGTACAGTAGTATAAGGAGTCCCTTCACATTTCAAGATCTTTGACTCATCATAAACTTAAATGAAGAAATTTTTCCCAAAGTGGGTATATTATGGCGGATTTCTTTTAACACCAATGTACTTAGCTTATATATGAGGAAAAAATTGGTTGTCTCATTTTATGTTAAAATGTCTTGTGTTGTATTAGAATTGTTCAGTTAACAGTTTCAGATCCTTCAAATATCAGTCACTCTTGTAGTTTCATGTTATAGTCAAACTACGATCAAATATAGAAAATCATGATTGATTAATCAAGTCAGGAATAAAATGACTAAACACTGATTAATTTGAACAACACTTGTGTACAGCTTGCTGTGTACACCCCACTACCTAAGGGAAAAGTAACAAATATAAGGGGGAATGAGATCCAAGCTCCTCTAGTGGATGTTCAGTGAAGTTCTTCGTCCCCCAGTCGATGGATTCCAAAATGGAAACCACCAAATACGGCTGTAAGAGTAATCAAAATTCAAACGAAGAGATGAAGTGAAAAGTGCTGAAGTTCAAACTGCAGCAAATATTTTCCAGCATACAGTATTTTTGTTGTTATTATCATTAACATCAAAATTGAACACCAATTTTAAATACGATTTGGAGGAGGACATTGTGATTGTTGACTTTAAGTTTGCTTTATCAATGTGCTGACCGATCCACTCTTTGTTTACAGGCTTTTGAGCTGGCGACCGGTGATTATCTGTTTGAGCCTCACTCCGGTGAGGACTACTCACGAGACGAGGACCACCTTGCACACGTCATAGAACTTATCGGCCCCATTCCACGCCATATAGCCCTGTCTGGCAAATATTCCCGCGAGTTCTTTAACAGAAAAGGTAACTAAAATTTTGGTTAATGACCCATTTTTTTTATTTTTTTTTACGTAAATTAATGTCTATGAACTGTTCAGGTTTTTATTTCCAATCTGTCATCAGTTTCTCACATTTACCTAACTCAGTTTTAAGAGCAAAATTTCGGAAATAGTTGAAAATGATTTATTAGTATCAGAATAGCTAAAAAATCAGAACCCCGACACTGATTTGATGATGCATCATACAGAATAAATCAAACATCAAAATTGTACCTGACAAACAGGGTCAGTCCCTATCTGGGCCAGTACTGTTTGATAATGATATACCTGTTATAGCCTTCCACTGACGGCACTCCGGTCTCGTAAAGTGACGATTTGTTTCTAAAATATCAGTTTGAAGAGCGACCCAGGTGCGGGTCGCTTATTTCCCGCATATATTAGAGGGGGGGAGGTCTGACGTTAATCGACGACAGACCGATATAAAAAAGTCGATAAAACGTCAGAATACTAAGGACTATATACAGTAAAACCTTGTTATACTGCCACCAATCTGTACTGCACTATGCCTGGAGAACAAAAGGGATGTAACTGTAGAAATGATAATGTCCAACTGGGCAAGCACTATACAGTAAAACCTTGTTATACTTCCACCAATCAGTACTACAGCATGCCTGGAGAGCAATAGCGACGTAACAAGAAATGATAATGTCCAAATGGGCAAGCACTATACAGTAAACCCTCTTTATACCTGCACCAATCAGTACTGCACTATGCCTGGAGACCAATAGCGACGTAACTGTAGAAATGATAATGTCCAACTTGGCAAGCACTATACAGTAAACCCTCGTTATACCCGCACCAATCAGTACTGCACTATGCCTGGAGAGCAATAGCGACATAACAAGAAACCAACTGGGCAAGCACTATACAGTAAACCCTCTTTATACCCGCACCAATCAGTACTGCACAATGCCTGGAGAACAATAGGGACGTAACTGTAGAAATGATAATGTCCAACTGTGCAAGCACTATACAGTAAACCCCTCTTTATACCCGCACCAATAAGAACTGCACTATGCCTGGAGAGCAATAGCGACATAACAAGAAACCAACTGGGCAAGCACTATACAGTAAACACTCTTTATACCCGCACCAATCAGAACTGCACTATGCCTGGAGAGCAATAGTGACGTAACTGTAGAAATGATAATGTCCAACTTGGCAAGCACTATACAGTAACCCATCTTTATCCCCGCACCAATCAGTACTGCACAATGCCTGGAGAGCAATAGCGATGTAACAAGAAATGATAATGTCCAAATGGGCAAGCACTATACAGTAAACCCTCTTTATACCCGCATCAATCAGTACTGCACTATGCCTGGAGAACAATAGCGACATAACTGTAGAAATGATAATGTCCAACTTGGCAAGCACTATACAGTAAAACCTCATTATACCCGACCGATCAGTACTGCACTATGCCTGGAGAGCAATAGTGACGTAACTGTAGAAATGATAATGTCCAACTGGGCAAGCACTATACAGTAAAACCTCGTTATACCCGTACCAATTTTCCAGAGAAATTCTTGTGTTATAAAGGGGTTTGGCTATAAAATGAGGTAAATATATAAAGAAATTCAAAAGAAAAAGAGAAAAATTGACTTTGAAATATGTTGGCAGTAAGTGAGTGGGAAATTAAACGAAAGGCATTATATTGAGGTTTTACTGTGTATATGTTTCTTAATCTGCATGGGGTTGTCCAATTAAATCCTTGGATTTTATCATGTAATGTTTTAAATGGTTTTATAAAGAATTGGCCTGCTCCTCCCTCCCTTCTATAGGCAGGCCAACTGGAGAAATCAATTTTACAAGTGAACTTAACCTTGAACTAACCTATTATATACATTTTTGAACAGGAGAGTTACGACACATCGTGAAGCTGAAGCCATGGGGCCTTTACGAAGTGCTGACAGAAAAATATGAATGGGAACCGTCGCAGGCCCAGCATTTCTCCGACTTTCTAATGCCTATGCTTAGATTTGACCCCGAGAAGCGTGCCACAGCGTTCGAAAGTCTAGAACATCCCTGGTTGACCGATGCGTCTTAGCCATACCTGGTGACCTGAGGAGTCCTAGCTATCCCTGTCTGTTAATCAATTCATGCTTGTGCTAAAGTAAGCAGATCTATCCCCAGAGCTACACGTATCAGAGAAATACCAAAGTTAGTTGACTTGCCTTTGTACAAGACGAGGAAGCAAGATTCATCAGATTGATGATTTCTTTGTTATGGTGGTTGGACTACAAGTGTCTAACTTCCTTCTCTGGACAAGGAGGCAAACTCAAGAATCCTAGGTTTTGTTCATCATCCATTCTCATTGAAATCGGAGGATTTTTTTATTAGTTAGCCAGACACTTCAGTAAGGTTCATGTGCCGTGGGGCAACATCAGTCGTCTTGTCAACTTTTTTGTGAATCTCTTGGCATATCTTAATATCTATAGATGAAATATGTGAAAATGGTAGAAGTGCTCCATTTTGGGCCACAAGTATAATGGTTGAATTTGAGAATAAGAGTCCACCTTTTTAATTATCAAGAAGTCAATTTTGGGACCGATCGAAGTGTGTTAGTGTGTATATTTACTAAGAATAGAATCAGTTATTACCAGATGAGCATTGTAGACTCTACGGGTGTCCTGGTTATTTTTTACACAATTAATATGAAGATAAAATTGTACAATGTCACATATTATGTACAAGTATGAGGAGTACTTGATGATTACAAGTTATTTATATTATGTAAAACAAAGGTGATCTGCCATAGACGCTAGTATTTACAAAGGTCGTATTTATTTGGTAGTTATAACAGTCAATCTGCCGTTCCCTCATTCCTATCCCATTGTTAATCACTGAAGACGTATGTCAAGTTGTCACCTTTATCACTTGTAAATAAACTCGTTAATAACCCTGTACAGATGTAACAATCGTCACGGACCCTGTGAAAGGACAAACGCAGATGTTTATCTAAGCAAGAATTTTTTTAAGGAGTAGAAAATGTATTGAAAACCTACTAATATTGGCGCTTACCCGGTAAATATTGGAGCACCCCCATGTTAGATATAGTCATCAGTAGCATGTTGATAGGATCTGAAAGCAGAGTGTATATAATAGATATAGTTAACAGTAATATTTAGGGTCAGTGGAGCGATGTTCACCGCTGCACATAAGTTCTCATCGTAAATTTCTGTCATAGCCAAGTGGACCTCAGTTGGGGTATAGCCTTATCCCTAAACATTTCTCTGATCTGCAAGCTCTCTTGGCTTCTTTTTAAAACTATGCTTAATAACAAAAAAATAACTTTTGGGATGAAATGGAGAAGAATATTTTGATCAGTTACTTCTGAAATTTATGATGGATGAATGCAATGTCGAGTAATATATGGTTGACAAGCAGTTTGATGGAATGGACGGAAAAAGAAATACATCAGATGAGGGTTCCACCGGCAATATCGGCACTGTGATCAGATGAGGGTTCCACCGGCAATATCGGCACTATGATCAGATGAGGGTTCCACTGGCAATATCGGCACTGTGATCAGGAATTAATTCCTCCAAGAGTGCTTTAAATGAATTTAGTTACAGAAATATTGAGTTTGATAGTAAATATTAAACATACAGTATTCTGTATTGTTTGTAAAAAGGATGATACATGTATAAATATGTATAGTGAAGAGCTTAGAGCTCAAACTTCTGTATCAAGTAGTCAAATGTCCAGCACTCGGACATAGGCAGAAGTCATTCTACACTACCAGGGGTTAATCCCAAGGGAGAAGTCATTGAGGTGGTAAAAGAGGCCACTGGACTCATTCCCGAATTCAAAAAAAGTAATACATTGTAATTTTGTTTCCATTTTATTTTTGGACTAATTTGCTTATAAATGAGACCAAATCAACAAAGGTGACATTTATTTTGTACAAGAATGCAGTTATGAAATAATTAAAAGCAAACATTAACAACAAGGTTAATTCAGCATTGAGCATGTTTGTTAGGACCAGAGTCTTAAGGTTATGAGAAATCAAATTTCTCGGAGAGAAAAAAGTGGGTTTATGTATTAAAATTTCATATTCATGAGTCATGGAATCAGCTACACAACTTTTGGTATTTTAAGTTAAAAATTCATGAAATGAAAGATTAGAATGTTTTTGGCACTACAGGTCTTGGTATTTTGGATGATTAAGTTGAGTCGATAGCTAGTTCTGTATGCTTCTATGTTCTATTTTCTTGAAAAGGATTTTGAAAGGAAAAAAACTTTTTAGCAGAGTTTTGAAATATAATAGAATTAAAGAAGATAAATAGATCACCATTTAGACATTGTTTACATAATTTCTGTTTTCTGTAGCATTTAATATTTTTGCAGCGTTTGAATTCTTTTAAAGAATTGTTTTAGTAGAAAAAAGTATCAGTAGCATCATGTTACATTTCACGATGTATAATTGTCCCCACCCCCTTGCGCATTTGTTTTACCCTAGATTTTGACACGCCCCCTTTGTTGTTGTTTTGTATACATGATGTTGTGATGACTCATGTTTAACCAAAGGGGCCATTATAGGGGTAATCACCCCCAGAGTCAGTGGGTGGGACTGGCAAGTGATTGACATTTGTAGCTGACAATACTAGCCATTTGTTGTACATATATGTATGCAATGCAAGATACTGAAAATCGCTTATGGTTTGTTGTGGATTAATTTTCGTACAATTGCAAGTACCAGATAGCCTTGTACCTTTATACACGTGATGTTAAATCTGTCTAATCAGCTATCATAATGTTATCACAGATTATAAACAACTATAGGGAATAAGAATTCTGACCATGGTTCATACAGGCTGTGAAAAGTGCTGAAATTGAGGTTGGTGCTTGAAAAGTACTAGAAAATAAGTGACTGGTGTTCTGGAAAAATGATAGAAATGGCTTACTGGTAATATTTTATTAAAAGTGCTCCAATAGTAATACTTAGAAAAAAATATTGTAAAAAAATATTATTTTAAATCCAGTTTAACTTGTTTTATTTTTGTCCTATGTACAGATTTCTGAACATTCAAAACAAGATGTTTGTTTTTTTGGTGAAAATAATCTGGATCAGAAAAAATTGCAAGAAAGTGCTTGAAAAGTGTTTAAATTTCGTCCCGGGGGGGAAGGCTGTATGAACCAAGTGGAGGCTAATAGCAGCACAAAACCTAAGTGATTTACGGTATTAAAAGATTGGTGTATAAAGTTTTGTGTATATCTTGATAATCAAATGGATTCTGGTCTCAGTAGTATATTAGTTTTATTACCGTGAATAGTTAAACTGGGTGGAAACAGCTAATGTTGGTTTGGTTTCCGCTTAATTCTTTTTGATTTTACAATGTTTCAAATCAACCTGTGACAGTGAAATGTTCAACACATAATTGTATTATGAAAATCGTTGAAAACTAATATTAAACCTCCTTCGTCATTCTGAATTTGCTCTTATTTTTCAGAAATAATAAAATCAGGAACACAAATGAAACCTGGGTAACAATTTGGCTTTTAACAACATCTCTGAGTTGATGATAAGGACCAGGGTGTGTTGTGTAGTACCTCAGTCATGGGTTGATAGAATATATTGTGATGGGTCCCTAGTCTGCCTCACGATGGTACAGACGGAACCAATCCTACAGCTGCTGATTCTGATAGTTTTATGGAAGGATGACAGGGAGAGAGCAAATGATTTTGTCTGATTTTCTTAGCTTTTTCTTTTTTGGAGTTGGTTGATTTGGTTTGTGTAGCGCATTGAAGTAGTTCTAAGGGAGACAGCACACAGCGAAGGAAGGAAAAAACAAAATAAATGTTCACCATGACAAGTAACGTGTTTTGTTTGTGGTTTAATGTGTGTATAGGATCTGATACATCCTATGATTGTCCAGATGTTGCATTCCAACATGTGCCGCCCCCGAGATACAGCTGATTTTTACACCATTAACTAGCCTGCTAGTTGTGTGTTTTATAAATTGTAGGGCTAGCAATGCTGTTTTGAGATGCATATGATTGTATTATGCACATTGGTTTACTGTGAAATAAAATCTGTATATGAAAATGCTGTATACCGGGAAATCTTTGCCCTTCTTGCCCGACATTAAATTCGCCCTTCACATTTAATTACTATGAATATTAAGTTGTAAACAGGTGTTTGCTGTAATGATTAATTTGCCGTTATTATGGAGGGCGAAAAAGGCGAACAACTACAATGTAACAAACATTTCCCAATATACAGTAGAACTTTCTAAAGGAGGGTTTCTGATTTTCAATATGCTGATTTTTGAAGATTACACTTTATGGCAGGTACACAGTAGGTGTATTAGCATGATTAACAGACTAAAGGAAAATCAGAACATTAAGAGAAGGGATTTTATTCCCAAAACAATCAAATGTAAAATTGGGAACAAAGGACTTGGCTCTCTGCTGTATATGTCGGACTAGACTGGACTGATGTATTGTTAGTACTAAACAGGACATGTATATTTAGTACAGACCCCAAACTGGACAGATTTCCTTTCCAAACTGGTCATCCTAGACAACTCTGTATTTATCTTGTCAGAGCAATGTTTTTTGTGAACTTAAAAAAAATATTGAACTGAATAAGGGCAACAGGTTGGTTAATTTTGTTGATACTGCCACAGTTATAAATTTACTGGTGAATTCCTCATTTTCATTCAATATTGACTAATAATTTGTACGATTCACAATTACACATCAGTTGAAACAATTCAAAACGTGATTTCTTTATGCCATAAGAAATGGTTTATCCTTTATTCTCGTCATTAGGTAACATTCTCGCAGGTCATACCGAACAGGCATTTCAGGCTGTTTTAAGGTATGTTTAAGAGAGGTTCATGTAAAGGAGAGGATTGGAGATCGTGTGTAATATACAAAGTGACAAAAGGTACGCCAACAGAGCCCCATTATCTATTGCAAACTTCAAAATCTAACGTGTCAACATCACATTGGGTCAACATCCGACCAGACAATCTCGTTCAAAATCTTCTTCATTTGTCACCCTGTGTGTAAAATTACAAGCTGCAGTTTTCGTCTTCAAAATTCAGTAGATCATCAGATTTTGTGGTGATGGGCCAACTGGATACAAATACATGTACCTGTGGTGCATAATTTGATACGACCAAGAGAAATGGACATTTTTGTGCATTTATCACATAGATAATTTTGCATTTATCAATAGCATTTTACAGTCTATTCTAGCTAACCTGTCTGCCTTGAACAATTGGGTTTGACTTGTACAAACTTTTTGGAAAATTGTATACAAAGAGAAGGAAATTTAGACAAAATTCACTTTAAATTGAAAATTTCTTGAAATAGTTGGCGAAAAATGGATTGGTTACAAATACATGTATATACTGGGAGATAGGTTGGTTGTATTAAAATCATAGCCGATATAAGATGATTTCTTCAATCGTATATATCAGTGACTTATCTAGTAGTTGGATTACAGTACAATATGTATTTACTGCAGTAGATGGACCTGTTTTTTGTGGAGACAGCAGTTTTCTATAGTACATGTACTGCTGAGATAGGCGACACCACAACTGATATTGAATTTCAACAAATTGTACATATATACCACCACCAGCCCAATGCTTAAGTACATGTATATAGCAGTCATAATTTAGAACGTGGGCTGGATGCTGAATTATCATATTTATTGTATAGTCATAACAATTAATTATGATTGACATGCCATGGTGACATGATTTAATTATGTAAGTGTATCGTTTCCTTGGTATCGATATTGTTTGGTCTTTTCAAACACTGGTACAGTTATAACGGTAGGTTGCGACATGCAGTTATTTTTATTGTTTTATGTCTTAGACAGTAGAGGTATGGACATTGATATGGCACAAACTAGCTACACAGATCTGACTGTAGTCAAGCCAAGGAATTAAGACCGAATCTTTATATTGAGTTTACTAAGAAATATGAACTGAAAATGGAATAAAAGTGCAGATAAGCATTATCACTGACTTCCTGTTTTGATTTCATACAACTGCTACTATGTAAGTGTGAACATCAGCTCATTCAGGCTACAGGGCGCTATCTTTGAATAGAAAAGAAATATAAGAAAAACCAAAAAATTCCAGACCGTGAAGAAACATGTACTGTAAAAGAGGAAATGTTCATAGACTGCTTTTGTTTATCGTGATCCAAACAGTTGAAGCGGTTGGATCAGAGTTGTTTGAGAAATTAATCTGATGCTGCTTTCAGGCGAGCCTTGAAAAAGCCTTGGAAGGCCTGCATAAACATTTGCAGGTCTGCCAGAATTTATACCTGAAAACGTAACGATTAAAACCAGTAACAAACCAGTTGTTCCGTATAAACAAACAGGCCTATTGTGGGAATGCATCAAGTAAATTGGTGCAAAAGTATCCACATGAAAATATGTATAGATTACCGGTAAATAAATTCCCGAACCATTGCCAGCATAATGCCATCATAATTTCTACACTGTGGTCACATTGCTAGCATTTCCTCATAGGAGAACTTCTACACTGTGGTCACAATGCAAGAATTTCCACATAGGAGAACTTCTACACTGTGGTCACAATGCAAGCATTGCTACATAGGAGAACTTCTACACTGTGGTCACAATGCAAGCATTTCCACATAGGAGAAACATTTCCACATAGGAGAACTTCTACACTGTGGTCACAATGCAAGCATTGCCACATAGGATAACTTTTACACTGTGGTCACAATGCTAGCATTTCAACATAGAACTTCTACACTGTGGTCACAATGCAAGCATTTCCACATTGGAGAACTTCTACACTGTGGTCACAATGCTAGCATTTCCACATAGGAGAACTTCTTCGCTGTGGTCACAATGCTAGCATTTCCACATACGAGAACGTCTACACTGTGGTCACAATGCAAGCATTTCCACAGAGAACTTCTACACTGTGGTCACAATGCAAGCATTTCCTCATAGGAGAACTTCTACACTGTGGTCACAAGGCAAGCATTTCCACATAGGAGAATGTCTACACTGTTGTCACAATGCAAGCATTGCTACATAGGAGTACTTCTAAACTGCGGTCACAATGCTAGCATTTCCACATAGGAGAATTTCTACACTGCGGTCACAATGCAAGCATTTCCACATAGGAGAAGTTCTACTCTGTGGTCACAATGCAAGCATTTCCACATAGGATAACTTTTACACTGTGGTGACAATGCTAGCATTTCAACATAGAACTTCTACACTGTGGTCACAATGAAAGCATTTCCACATAGGAGAACTTCTACACTGTGGTCACAATGAAAGAATTTACACATCGGAGAACTTCTACACTGGTCACAATGCAAGCATTGCTACATGGGAGAACTTCTACACTGTGGTCACAATGCTATCATTTCCACATAGGAGATCTTCTACACTGTGGTCACAATGCAAGCATTGCCACATAGGATAACTTTTACACTGTGGTCACAATGCTAGCATTTCAACATAGAACTTCTACACTGTGGTCACAATGAAAGCATTTCCACATAGGAGAACTTCTACACTGTGGTCACAATGCAAGCATTACCACATTGGAGAACTTCTACACTGTGGTCACAATGCTAGCATTTCCACATAGGAGAATTTCTACACTGTGGTCACAATGCAAGCATTTCCACATAGGAGAATGTCTACACTGTTGTCACAATGCAAGCATTGCTACATAGGAGAACTTCTACACTGCGGTCACAATGCTAGCATTTCCACATAGGAGAATTTCTACACTGTGGTCACAATGCAAGCATTTCCACATCGGAGAACTTCTACACTGGTCACAATGCAAGCATTGCCACATAGGAGAATGTCTACACTGTGGTCACAATGCAAGCATTTCCACATAGGAGAACTTCTACACTGTGGTCACAATGCTAGCATTTCCACATCGGAGAACTTCTACACTGGTCACAATGCAAGCATTGCTACATGGGAGAACTTCTACACTGTGGTCACAATGCTAGCATTTCCACATGGAGAATTTCTACACTGTGGTCACAATGCTAGCATTTCCACATAGGAGAATTTCTACACTGGTCACAATGCAAGCATTGCTACATAGGAGAATTTCTACACTGTGGTCACAATGCAAGCTTGGTATACAACACAAAAAATAACTTACACTTTTGGTAAGATTTATTGATTATGAAGTTGAATAAGAAATGATTTCAACAAAAATACATGTAAGGATGATACCATGATTTATATGAAGTTTGAGTTTCCATACAACAACTAACATTTATACTAATTTCACAATACACTGGCTCCCTTATCTGTCAGGCACTCGTACATGTAATATGAATCGCATTACTAGGGAGATTTCATGAGTGCATGTTTACAGGAAATTTTCTTAAAATCTTAAAAAGATTTTTTTCTGAAAATATATCTACTTTAATGGAGAACTTGTAATAAACTTGTCACAATGTCGTGTATATTTCATGAAACAGAACATCTCCGTTAACATGCCTACATAAACAAGCCACTTAAGATCTTGCTGATCTAAACAACCCAAATCCCTTCATGCACTTTGATTTTGTCCGAGGTTTTCTACATGAATTCACTGCAATATTTCATTAACTGTTCAAATTCATATTTTTTGAACTTTTGATCATAACCATTGTTTGGAATAACATTTAGAATCTATTGCAATTTGTTCATACAGAAATTTTACGTCTGGATGTTCCACTCCTTATAAACATGCATGTACAATATAAGGCTCTGTTTCTTTCAATCATACCCACTGTAATACAACAAGGTTACAAATCATTCCTAGCTCGCTGTCCAATAACTAGACCCTCAGTTTGGATACAAGAGTCTTAAGTTACTCAGTCCACTCATTAATAGAATGACGTACCAGTATCCTTCGGTATTCGCAGTGCTGCAGCAGACTGCAGGAATTCAATCAAGTCAGGCAAGCTCTTGACTCTGGCCATACCTGATCTCTGAGCAGTTTAACCTAAACAGTAGGGTATTTAGGGTTCACCAAACGTCTAAGGGAGACTGACCAATCCATACCAGTGACAGAAATGTGGGTAGAAACATGGATTGCAGCAGCTGTCAATATGACAAGCACAAGTTGTTCCAACTGCAAATCAGCACAGATTTCATCGTATCAAATTTCAAAAACATTACAGATGAAGAACCGGACAACCCCACTGATACTTGGGCACACAGTACTGATGTTAAAAGTAACCTCGGGCTGATGAGATTCCGAGGACTTTCTAAGATGTATTACAGATTTGTCCAAGCTTTATGAAACAGAATTCTTGATTATTTGATTCAGAATTTGTAAATTTCCAAACAGACGGGTCATTACGGGTTGTACCTTAAACGAAGTTAGTCTATACTTGTCATTCATTTACTCTTTTAAATACTGACATTCCTCATTCTACTAAACCATGTAGACATGTATTAAATAATGTCATCGTTTACCATGGAACACTTGCACGCTCCACTCTCGTACTTGCTGCACTTTAACATACACACATATACACTGATTTACCATTTAATGGTTCGCAGATAAATTCATTGTAGAAAATAATCGTTGGACATAAAATTGACTCCAATTGATATCCAGATGCGTACAAACAGCATTTTACTGAAATGTTAAAATGAAACAATTTCAACTTTTAGACTGATATAAAACAACATTTCAGCTTTGGGTACATCATTTAAAATGTCTGAATACTTTAAAAAGTACAATGTCATGTACAAGTGCTGTTTCATATTCACAAGTATATTCAACTTGAATATAAAGAATACCACAGTTGTTTCATATTTATATGTAAGATATTGAATACTGTGGATTCAGAAATTTTACAACATTTATCTTTAACTGTGCATCACAAATTCAAAAATATTGTACAAAATACATAAACTGGACATACTTCATAATAAAAGTGGTCAACATTTTCACCATACATGGGCAGTCTAATTGTTCAAAACTCAATACTTCATTTATTTTTTCATCAATATGGTATCTCATTCATCCCTTTGAACTTCCATTCAAAGGTTGGAATAGTCCATTATGAAACTTCAGGGGTGAACGAGTTAATATAACAGAAACAAGTTATTTTAGTTCTTATCTACCGATCCCATGTCACTGTGGAGTAGTATTTTATAAAGGCATTCAGTACAACATTAAACCAGATCTCAATATTGCAGTTTCAGTATCAAATTGCTGTTTCAAAACCAGCCCCCCACACTCCCTCCCCCCACAAACACGATTTCACTTTTCCATCAATCCAGCCTCCTTCATCTTTGTACTGAAGAATTTCTCCAGTGCATTAGCACATTTGTAGTATTCCGTGTCGGGTTTGTTATAAGCCCTACAGTTAGAGAAGATCCTGGACATGTCGGCGATGAAGAGTCGCTTGTTGCAGTAGTAACGATTTTTTAATCTTTCAGTCATTGATTTCAGATCTAAATCAGAAATGAAATGTTTTATTAGAAAGCACTCACATAAATAGAAGAATACATGAATACATATCTGAACTCAAAATAGTCACAAATCATAAAGGCTTTTGAGTGATTAAGCAAAATATTTAACTCATTCACCCCTGAAATTTCATAATGAACTATTTCAACCTTTGAATTGGAAGAGTTCAGATGTGTCTTTAAGGGTGAATGAGTTAATCATAATTAAAGTTATTTGTACATGTGTACACTACTAAGCTATTCTTTTGTCATCTGAAACTTTTCCCCAGGGAAATTAATGCCTAAATAATCATGATTTTCATAGAATATCATTTAAATAATTTTTAAATCACCTAGCTTGCTGATTATACTAGAGAAACAAAGTTACTGTTTCAACACAAGCCCTTACCCATAGGAAACTTGATGTGCTCGTAGTAATCTGGGGCCTCAGACTTGTCAACAGGCTTTTGGAACGGCCAGGAACTTGAATTGGACTGAAAAGACGTAATTGTTTGACATTGAAGACAATCTACTATGATTGAAAAATAAATGTTTGGTAGTAAAAAAGCACTACAAAAACCATATTTTATGTCAATGCAAATCACAGAACGTTCATGAAAACAAAGAAAATAAAAAAAAGGTGTGTGCAATCCAGTCTCCACCCTCTGAACAAACTTTGGCTTCAGAAATTAGGCAAAGGTCATAGCTCTGTATATAGTATAAACCTGAAATTAGGCAAAGGTCATCGCTCTGTATATAGTATAAACCTGAAATTAGGCAAAGGTCATAGCTCTGTATATAGTATAAACCTGAAATTAGGCAAAGGTCATCGCTCTGTATATAGTATAAACCTGAAATTAGGCAAAGGTCATAACTCTGTATATAGTATAAACCTGAAATTAGGCAAAGGTCATAACTCTGTATATAGTATAAACCTGAAATTAGGCAAAGGTCATAACTCTGTATATAGTATAAACCTGAAATTAGGCAAAGGTCATAACTCTGTATATAGTATAAACCTGAAATTAGGCAAAGGTCATAACTCTGTATATAGTATAAACCTGAAATTAGGCAAAGGTCATAACTCTGTATATAGTATAAACCTGAAATTAGGCAAAGGTCATAGCTCTGTATATAGTATAAACCTGAAATTAGGCATAGGTCATAACTCTGTATATAGTATAAACCTGAAATTAGGCAAAGGTCATAACTCTGTATATAGTATAAACCTGAAATTAGGCAAAGGTCATAACTCTGTATATAGTATAAACCTGAAATTAGGCAAAGGTCATAACTCTGTATATAGTATAAACCTGAAATTAGGCAAAGGTCATAACTCTGTATATAGTATAAACCTGAAATTAGGCAAAGGTCATAACTCTGTATATAGTATAAACCTGAAATTAGGCAAAGGTCATAACTCTGTATATAGTATAAACCTGAAATTAGGCAAAGGTCATAACTCTGTATATAGTATAAACCTGAAATTAGGCAAAGGTCATAACTCTGTATATAGTATAAACCTGAAATTAGGCAAAGGTCATAACTCTGTATATAGTATAAACCTGAAATTAGGCAAAGGTCATAACTCTGTATATAGTATAAACCTGAAATTAGGCAAAGGTCATAACTCTGTATATAGTATAAACCTGAAATTAGGCAAAGGTCATAACTCTGTATATAGTATAAACCTGAAATTAGGCAAAGGTCATAACTCTGTATATAGTATAAACCTGAAATTAGGCAAAGGTCATAACTCTGTATATAGTATAAACCTGAAATTAGGCAAAGGTCATAACTCTGTATATAGTATAAACCTGAAATTAGGCAAAGGTCATAACTCTGTATATAGTATAAACCTGAAATTAGGCAAAGGTCATAACTCTGTATATAGTATAAACCTGAAATTAGGCAAAGGTCATAACTCTGTATATAGTATAAACCTGAAATTAGGCAAAGGTCATAACTCTGTATATAGTATAAACCTGAAATTAGGCAAAGGTCATAACTCTGTATATAGTATAAACCTGAAATTAGGCAAAGGTCATAACTCTGTATATAGTATAAACCTGAAATTAGGCAAAGGTCATAACTCTGTATATAGTATAAACCTGAAATTAGGCAAAGGTCATAACTCTGTATATAGTATAAACCTGAAATTAGGCAAAGGTCATAACTCTGTATATAGTATAAACCTGAAATTAGGCAAAGGTCATAACTCTGTATATAGTATAAACCTGAAATTAGGCAAAGGTCATAACTCTGTATATAGTATAAACCTGAAATTAGGCAAAGGTCATAACTCTGTATATAGTATAAACCTGAAATTAGGCAAAGGTCATAACTCTGTATATAGTATAAACCTGAAATTAGGCAAAGGTCATAACTCTGTATATAGTATAAACCTGAAATTAGGCAAAGGTCATAACTCTGTATATAGTATAAACCTGAAATTAGGCAAAGGTCATAACTCTGTATATAGTATAAACCTGAAATTAGGCAAAGGTCATAACTCTGTATATAGTATAAACCTGAAATTAGGCAAAGGTCATAACTCTGTATATAGTATAAACCTGAAATTAGGCAAAGGTCATAACTCTGTATATAGTATAAACCTGAAATTAGGCAAAGGTCATAGCTCTGTATATAGTATAAACCTGAAATTAGGCAAAGGTCATAACTCTGTATATAGTATAAACCTGAAATTAGGCAAAGGTCATAACTCTGTATATAGTATAAACCTGAAATTAGGCAAAGGTCATAACTCTGTATATAGTATAAACCTGAAATTAGGCAAAGGTCATAACTCTGTATATAGTATAAACCTGAAATTAGGCAAAGGTCATAACTCTGTATATAGTATAAACCTGAAATTAGGCAAAGGTCATAACTCTGTATATAGTATAAACCTGAAATTAGGCAAAGGTCATAACTCTGTATATAGTATAAACCTGAAATTAGGCAAAGGTCATAACTCTGTATATAGTATAAACCTGAAATTAGGCAAAGGTCATAACTCTGTATATAGTATAAACCTGAAATTAGGCAAAGGTCATAACTCTGTATATAGTATAAACCTGAAATTAGGCAAAGGTCATAGCTCTGTATATAGTATAAACCTGAAATTAGGCAAAGGTCATAACTCTGTATATAGTATAAACCTGAAATTAGGCAAAGGTCATAACTCTGTATATAGTATAAACCTGAAATTAGGCAAAGGTCATAGCTCTGTATATAGTATAAACCTGAAATTAGGCAAAGGTCATAGCTCTGTATATAGTATAAACCTGAAATTAGGCAAAGGTCATAACTCTGTATATAGTATAAACCTGAAATTAGGCAAAGGTCATAACTCTGTATATAGTATAAACCTGAAATTAGGCAAAGGTCATAACTCTGTATATAGTATAAACCTGAAATTAGGCAAAGGTCATAACTCTGTATATAGTATAAACCTGAAATTAGGCAAAGGTCATAGCTCTGTATATAGTATAAACCTGAAATTAGGCATAGGTCATAGCTCTGTATATAGTATAAACCTGAAATTAGGCATAGGTCATAACTCTGTATATAGTATAAACCTGAAATTAGGCAAAGGTCATAACTCTGTATATAGTATAAACCTGAAATTAGGCAAAGGTCATCGCTCTGTATATAGTATAAACCTGAAATTAGGCAAAGGTCATAGCTCTGTATATAGTATAAACTTGAAATTAGGCATAGGTCATAGCTCTGTATATAGTATAAACCTGAAATTAGGCAAAGGTCATAACTCTGTGTATAGTATAAACCTGATTGAAGTATCTAACACTATAGTACACATTCTCACACAATTTATGACAATAGTACAAGGCAGAGTATATGAAATATTCCCTGGATCTAGATAACACAGGACCATGTTCGAGTGGGCACAAAACCCGAATTCAATATGCAATACACTGCCATCCCAAGAGGTACTTTAATACAAAGTTTGTCAATTCTAGGCGACAGAGAATGAGAGATTTGTCCTGGGCCCCTTCCACGTATCCAGTTCAACCAGGTGAAATGGTTGAACCTGAAAGAAAACAACAGGCTCAGATCTGAACCGAGGCTGACCTCAGAAATATTTGGCACATGTAGATTGAGGGGTCCAGACGTGTCTGACCGTAACTATAATGCTGACCATTGCTAGTTTGCGTTATGTCTTTATAAAACAAGGTCAATCCACATGTACATTTTAAGATACGTTATATAATTTAGTGGAAAGAAGGATATACATTGTCATTTATTCACTGAAATTGTGCCTTTTTTAGCTCCGTCTATAGTTCAGTTGAAGTGGGTTTGTTTATCATGGAATATTTCTGCGCCCCCTCAATCATTTCAACCTGGAAATGCAAATGTGACCCTGGATAAAGTGATGCCCAGTGAATGAAGGGCCATTACTCTATATTTAGTGATACTCGTGATCTGATTTTAGGATGTGACACTTTGTCATCACAAAAGGCACTCACAAACACAATTGATTATTGTGGGTGAAAGAGTATATGAGAACGACCCAGAAAATGTGACTGACTGACAAAGTGCAAGCCAAAGACCCTTTATGTAGTACTGACTGGAGACTAATCATTTACTTGGTATTCATGTTTTATTAAACCATAATAGCCATTTTGTATTTGTGCCGTTACCTTGACTTGCTGCAGTATTGTTTTGGTTGTCGTGTGGAGTTGTTCACTGTCCATATGGGTCTCTTTGCTGCAAGGATAAAAGAAAATATTAAATGAAAATTCAATCTTGATCCTTTTAAAGTCTGTGGTTTTGGTGACACATGTATTACTTCAGTGTCTTTTAAAACTGTCAGAAGTCCTATCCCGGGGTGATGTCATGAATGCTAGTCTTTTACCAGTACATCATGTAATTTGAAATATAAGTGGTGATACAACATGCTAATTGTTTTCAAAGTTCATGCCCATCTACACAGAAAAAAGATTATCAGTGGATCCTTATAATCAAAGTCCAAACTTATCTTTCCTGAAACGATTAATAGAAAGCCTGAACCCTTTCACCACTGTAGACCATAATGGACTCATCCAGATCAATGCATGGTAGAGTCTACTAAAGTTACATGGGGGTGAAAGCCTTAAATTCATGTTCTATTCAAAGCAATATATACCCTTTGTCAAGAGAGGATTTCCAGCCTAGATCGTGCAGCCCTGGGATATTCTCCACTGGTATCTGTCGCACGCCCTCCTTGAAGCAGGTCAGGCCGGGGTATACCTTCTGTAGCTGGTCCTGTTTCTTCTCTATAATAGTCTTCACTATCTGTCAGGGACAACCAGGCAATCAATTTATGAATATATAATATTGACCAGACTTTGGGTACACATTTATAGAGGATAGTAAGGCCAAACAAATATATGTCTGTTTCAGGTATTAAAAACTAGAAGCAGTATGGTAGGTCGGTCAGAATTGTTTTCTCTCTCTTTTTGGAGGGGTTGGGGGCTAATTTAAGAAATTTCAAACACCAGCAAACATAACTTTAGGTCTTTTACATAATTATAAGGGATTTAAATTTGGTTTTAATACATGCCGTTGAAGTATACAGGTGTATATATATAGTCACCATGATTATTTGTCCATCAATTTGTTTGCAACTGGTAGACAAGTTACCTCAACACTGGATGGAGTGTGTTCGAGTGAGATAAATTTGTTACCACACCACAATTATAGCTGTCCAAAAAACTACCTATCAAGTTTTATCTTGTCTGTTTCTCTGTACGTCAATAACCTGAATCAGTATTTTTAATCCTAGGCATATTGTAGCAGTCATCTGGTGTTTAAGTACAATCATACCTCCTTCTGTTTTCTAATGACACTGGAGAAGTCTGTGTAACAGATCCTGGGGTTTAGTTCACACCCCATCAGTGTGGCTCCCTCGTAGTCCTTGATGTAGCCCAGGTAGGACGACCGGTTCATCTTGATGTCTTTGGAAAAACCCTGTCATTGCCATCCATAAAACAAGTACAATATCACCAAATGACTTCAACAAAGACTTCTCCGAACTCACTTTCATTTAAAACTTGAACACCCAGATAGCTTGAACACTACTGTTGAACCAGGCAATTTTCATTTGACATAATTATGGTAAACAGACTTTTGCAAATATTCCTTGATATGACATTTTTGCTTTAAGAATTTGAATTGAATTATCAAAATCATCTACTTGAGAAATTTTTTACTCAATGTCTTTTCAACTAAAAGGGTAACAAAATTAATCAATTCAAAAAACCAGGTCAAACGATATCTACTGCTGCCGGTATTTGTTGGGGTGTGTTCAGTAAAAGAAACAATATGGATCATTATTTAACTAAAATACTCATTATCTTATACAGGTAATATCTTATATTTTGTAATTGGAAGTTTACTACAAATGTATTGAAACTTTCAAATGATAAATTACTGGTTTACATTTATTTTACTAGTGTAACGATAAAGAGAGTAGTGTGCTTCAACGGGGATTGAACCCGTGACCCCCAGCTTCCCAGTCTGTCGCTCTACCAATTGAGCTAAAGGGAAATTCCCTCTAGCTCTAAGCAAGAAGGTAACTGTAACCTTATGCACAATTAAATTCTGCCACACTACTCCCCCCTTTTTAAATGTGCTCGCCCTCAAACACCACAACAACCCAGGTTCTAACTCCCTGTCACCACAGGAAGGGTCATGGACACCATTAGTAACAGGAAAAGAGAGAAGTGTGCTTACAACGGGGATCGAACAAGCTAAAAGGTGACCATAATGGGGATTCTGTGTACAATTACAACCTGCCAAACTAGTAAAACAAAATCTACATTTTAAATCAGAATTACAATTCTGCAATGTTTAAAACTGTTTTCTTTACTGAATCTACCCCTTCCTTGACAATAAAAACATCTTTACTGAATCTACCCATTCCTTGACAATAAAAACATCTTTACTGAATCTACCCATTCCATGACAATAAAAACATCTTTACTGAATCTACCCATTCCTTGACAATAAAAACATCTTTACTGAATCTACCCATTCCTTGACAATAAAAACATCTTTACTGAATCTACCCATTCCTTGACAATAAAAACATCTTTACTGAATCTACCCATTCCTTGACAATAAAAACATCTTTACTGAATCTACCCATTCCTTGACAATAAAAACATCTTTACTGAATCTACCCATTCCTTGACAATAAAAACATCTTTACTGAATCTACCCATTCCTTGACAATAAAAACATCTTTACTGAATCTACCCATTCCTTGACAATAAAAACATCTTTACTGAATCTACCCATTCCTTGACAATAAAAACATCTTTACTGAATCTACCCATTCCTTGACAATAAAAACATCTTTACTGAATCTACCCATTCCTTGACAATAAAAACATCTTTACTGAATCTACCCATTCCTTGACAATAAAAACATCTTTACTGAATCTACCCATTCCTTGACAATAAAAACATCTTTACTGAATCTACCCATTCCTTGACAATAAAAACATCTTTACTGAATCTACCCATTCCTTGACAATAAAAACATCTTTACTGAATCTACCCATTCCTTGACAATAAAAACATCTTTACTGAATCTACCCATTCCTTGACAATAAAAACATCTTTACTGAATCTACCCATTCCTTGACAATAAAAACATCTTTACTGAATCTACCCATTCCTTGACAATAAAAACATCTTTACTGAATCTACCCATTCCTTGACAATAAAAACATCTTTACTGAATCTACCCATTCCTTGACAATAAAAACATCTTTACTGAATCTACCCATTCCTTGACAATAAAAACATCTTTACTGAATCTACCCATTCCTTGACAATAAAAACATCTTTACTGAATCTACCCATTCCTTGACAATAAAAACATCTTTACTGAATCTACCCATTCCTTGACAATAAAAACATCTTTACTGAATCTACCCATTCCTTGACAATAAAAACATCTTTACTGAATCTACCCATTCCTTGACAATAAAAACATCTTTACTGAATCTACCCATTCCTTGACAATAAAAACATCTTTACTGAATCTACCCATTCCTTGACAATAAAAACATCTTTACTGAATCTACCCATTCCTTGACAATAAAAACATCTTTACTGAATCTACCCATTCCTTGACAATAAAAACATCTTTACTGAATCTACCCATTCCTTGACAATAAAAACATCTTTACTGAATCTACCCATTCCTTGACAATAAAAACATCTTTACTGAATCTACCCATTCCTTGACAATAAAAACATCTTTACTGAATCTACCCATTCCTTGACAATAAAAACATCTTTACTGAATCTACCCATTCCTTGACAATAAAAACATCTTTACTGAATCTACCCATTCCTTGACAATAAAAACATCTTTACTGAATCTACCCATTCCTTGACAATAAAAACATCTTTACTGAATCTACCCATTCCTTGACAATAAAAACATCTTTACTGAATCTACCCATTCCTTGACAATAAAAACATCTTTACTGAATCTACCCATTCCTTGACAATAAAAACATCTTTACTGAATCTACCCATTCCATGACAATAAAAACATCTTTACTGAATCTACCCATTCCATGACAATAAAAACATCTTTACTGAATCTACCCATTCCTTGACAATAAAAACATCTTTACTGAATCTACCCATTCCATGACAATAAAAAAATCTTCAAAATTATGTTTTTAGGTCACAACACCACCCTTAGTAACAGAACTACAAACACATACAATGCCCTTACCTGCTTTTTGAAATAACCGATGGCATACTCATCAGCAAACGTGAGGAAGTGGAGGACACTGTGTTTTATGTGGTAATTCTTTAGATGGTTCATCATGTGGGTCCCATAGCCCTAAATAGTAAAACAACAAATGGAATGTTAATCAGAGAGTTTTAAATACCAAACTGTGTTGTAAATCACTGTACAGGTCACCAGTCAATGTAACATTTCACATTCATTCACATCAAGAAATGAAGAAGGAATTATGTACTGAAAATCATTTAAATAAGATATTAGCTAAATTTAGAAACGATTAGCACATGTTAGTTTATGTTCTTCCTACCTCTGTGATGAAGGTAAATTAACCATGATAACAAATATCTATACACAGCTCCGGGAGAAAAAGCATTTCTACCCTGAAGGGTGAAACAACCACTCGGGGAATACATAGATTTTTATATGGAAAGGCCAATATTAATGAGAAGGGAGAATTTCCCTGCGGACAGTATGTAAGTAATTCAGTTTTCTTTACTGAGAGAATTTATCCTCGTTGACTTCTACCAGGAATCTACCTTAAAACAAACACTTTTAACAACCTCACCTTCACTTGTTCGTTGGATGTGACAGCACAGAAAACAATCTCGGTAAAACCCTGTGTAGGGAACATTCGGAAGCATATCCCTCCAATCACTTTGTTGTCCTTGATCAAGGATAAACACTTGTGCTTCCTGAAAAAAGCAACGAAATTGCATTTATAAAACACTTGTGCTTCCTGAAAAAAGCAACGAAATTGCATTTATAAAACACTTGTGCTTCCTGAAAAAAGCAACGAAATTGCATTTATAAAACACTTGTGCTTCCTGAAAAAAGCAACGAAATTGCATTTATAAAACACTTGTGCTTCCTGAAAAAAGCAACGAAATTGCATTTATAAAACACTTGTGCTTCCTGAAAAAAGCAACGAAATTGCATTTATAAAACACTTGTGCTTCCTGAAAAAAGCAACGAAATTGCATTTATAAAACACTTGTGCTTCCTGAAAAAAGCAACGAAATTGCATTTATAAAACACTTGTGCTTCCTGAAAAAAGCAACGAAATTGCATTTATAAAACACTTGTGCTTCCTGACAAATGAAAACTTGTATAAAACGGTGTGTTTGTGAGAAAACAAAACTGTAAGAGGACACTTTGGGAGTATCTACATGTAACCCTTTAAATCTACATAAGCTTGCTGAAGGCACTCTTCCCCACTCCATTTTTAGGACAGTTTCCCCCAATTTAATGAAGAAAATAGTATGTTGTTTAACTTGTATCCAATTTTACTTGAAAATACAAATTTTCCTACAACAAACTCTTTATCTAAGTTCATCTCTTTGAAATGCAGCTTGATCATCATTTTAAAGTGACATGCAATTACTTACGGATCAAACACCAGGCGAGTTATGTATTCTTTAGGCATCCGGGGAAGCTGGTGAGAGAAGACGTTTTGGAGGCCGATAAGCCAGATCAATGTCTGTTTGGTAGGTTTGTTACTGAGGCTATTAGCCACCACGTGGAACTCTATCACGCCCTTAATCTCCTCTCGTCGAGCTGATTCATCACGTGCGGAGTGGGCGGGGAATAATGAGGTCTGTAACAGGAAATATCATGTTAATTTCAATGTCAGTCAAGAAAGTAGTTTTTGCAAACACAGCAATTATAATCACAAATTTCCTCCTTCTTAACAATGACATTCAACGTATATATATATTTTAGTCAACAATAATTAAATATCCGAATAATGTATATAAAACTCCTACCAAATGTGTTTCACCAATTTTGAAGATTTTCTAGTTTAACACTGCTATATATATTAATTACTACCTCACCTATAATTATTTAGTAATAAATTATTTCAGATGATTTTTCATCACCACTATGTTAACATACTTCAACTTGTCTATAACAGCATAATACATTGGAGGTTTAAAAATTTGATATTCGGAGATTTAGAGAACTGGTAGTGCATGTATACACTGTAAGATTGTCTATGTGACGTTTCAATGACTAGTACGATATGTACACTGTCACCTTCATCAGACAAATGACCAGTAAAGCTTATCCACACCAAGGTGTACAATGTGTACGAGTTGTCCACAAAATCGATGTTGATTCGGCTTCGCTGGAAGCGTATGTACAATAGTTGTTATACATGTACCATTTCACTTGTCATTTGTCTGATGAAGGTGACAGTGCACATATCGTACTAGTCATCGAAACACCACATAGAAACTCTTATTGGTTGTGTAGAAAGAACTTCTCATAAAACATTGATTATTGTCAGTCAAGTCTGGGAAATGATCTCCCACACAGTGCTATTGACCGTTACATGTGACTTAAGATTCAGTTACACTGATAACAAACTGACAGATGCTTACATCAGGTCCAACCATCTTCTCGGGCTCGGTGATGGTGGCCACTACCTCTGCCAGGTACTCAGCACTGATGTCTCCATCAATCCGCTTCCTCTTGACTTCCTCGGGACTGAAGGCATCCTCCAACTTCCTTTTCAGCTCACTCCCACCACCTAGTAAAACACACATCATCCAGATAAATAATCACCTGTTGTTGTCATAGCTTTCACAATTTCTTTTTAAAGAATCTGGTACATGGGCCTGCCCTCTGAGGATTTAAACCACCAGTGGCTAGGTACTATTATATAAATAGTTAAACCACCAGTGGCTAAGTACTATTACATAAATAGATAAACCACGAGTGGCTAAGTACTATTATATAAATAGTTAAACAACCAGTGGCTAAGTACTATCGTATAAATAGTTAAACCACGAGGGGCTAAGTACTATTATATAAATAGTTAAATCACCAGTGGCTAAGTACTATTACATAAATAGTTAAACCACGAGGGGCTAAGTACTATTATATAAATAGTTAACCCACCAGTGGCTAAGTACTGTCATATAAATAGTTAAACCCCCAGTGGCTAGGTACTATTATATAAATAGTTAACCCACCAGTGGCTAAGTACTGTCATATAAATAGTTAAACCCCCAGTGGCTAGGTACTATTATATAAATATTTAAACCACGAGTGGCTAAGAACTATTATATAAATAGTTAAACCACCAGTGGCTAAGTACTATTATATAAAAATTATATTAAGGTGAGGATGCAACTATGTTTAAAATTGTTTAGGATTATGTCTGATAATTTGTTTTTTAATATATTTTTTCAAATTTCACAGTTTGCAGTCATAATTACTACGTATATGCTCAACAATGCGAGATTTGTGCAGTGAACACTTCTTTCCAGGACAAAAATTCTGCAGAAATGTTCGCACACTTTACCCCTCATTTGAGAAATGGAATGGAATGAAAGCCTATTATCATCCCCTCTGGTGGTACTGTTATCCAGGTGCCCAGCACTTTTTGTTTCTAGCTGTACATTATGGAAAGGTCTTTTGACTTAATTTATATCGGGATGTATCAAAACATTTTTATCAAATCGTTTTAAAATGAACCATCACAAAATGTCACTTGACTTGTAGGTGAACAACGTTGCTTCAGTAATACTCTGTTATATCTCATAGCTGGGGACCATCACTTGTAAATGGACAATGTCATATCTCTAAGCCCGGGATGTGACTTGTATAGTGACAATGCTGCCCAAATAACACCCCAGAGTTAGAGACTTATCTAGTCCATAGGCTGGTTTTGAAAAGGCATCTGCCAGAGTACCAGGTATGTTATAAGCTAGATTAATCGTAAAACAAGTCGAGTGGAATGAAATTGGATTGATCGTTGATCGTTGGTGACCGGGTAGTTCAGTTTGTTAGCATGCTCTTCTAGAGCTGTGAGATACCAGACTCTAGTTAAGTCTGGCTGCTACATTATCCTACCTCTGTTACAAATAGCACATTATCCTACCTCTGTTACACAAATTATACATTATCCTACCTCTGTTACACAAATAGCACATTATCTTACCTCTGTTACACAAATAATACATTACCCTACTTTTGTTACACAAATAGTACATTATCCTACCTCTGTTACACAAAAAGTACATTATCCTACCTCTGTTACACAAATAATGCATTATATTGAATCCAAAACAAATCATTATCCTACCTCTGTTACACAAATAATACATTACCCTACTTTTGTTACACAAATAGTACATTATCCTACCTCTGTTACACAATTAGTACATTATCCTACCTCTGTTACACAAATAATGCATTATATTGAATCCAAAACAAATCATTATCCTACCTCTGTTACACAAATAATACATAATCCTACCTCTGTTACACAAATAGTACATTATCCTCCCTCTGTTACACAAATAGTACATTATCCTACCTCTCTTACACAAATAATACATTATCCTACCTCTGTTACAAATAGTACATTATCTTACCTCTGTTACACAAATAATACATTACCCTACTTTTGTTACACAAATAGTACATTATCCTACCTCTGTTACACAAAAAGTACATTATCCTACCTCTGTTACACAAATAATACATAATCCTACCTCTGTTACACAAATAGTACATTATCCTTCCTCTGTTACACAAATAGTACATTATCCTACCTCAATTACACAAATAGTACATTATCCTACCTCTATTACACAAATAGTACATTATCCTACCTCTATTACACAAATAATACATTGTCCTACCTCTGTTACACAAATAGTACATTATCCTCCCTCTATTACACAAATAATACATTATCCTACCTCTATTACACAAATAATACATTAGCCTACTTCTGTTACACAAATAATACATTATACTACCTCTGTTACACAAATAGTACATTATCCTAGCTCTATTACACAAATAATACATTATCCTACCTCTGTTCCACAAATAGTACATTATCCTACCTCTGTTACACAAAAAGTACATTATCCTACCTCTGTTACACAAATAATGCATTATATTGAATCCAAAACAAATCATTATCCTACCTCTGTTACACAAATAATACATTACCCTACTTCTGTTACACAAATAGTACATTATCCTACCTCTATTACACAAATAGTACATTATCCTACCTCTATTACACAAATAATACATTGTCCTACCTCTGTTACACAAATAGTACATTACCCTACCTCTGTTACACAAATAATACATTATCCTCCCTCTGTTACACAAATAATACATTATCCTTCCTCTGTTACACAAATAGTACATTATCCTACCTCAATTACACAAATAGTACATTATCCTACCTCTATTACACAAATAATACATTATCCTACCTCTGTTCCACAAATAGTACATTATCCTACCTCTGTTACACAATTAGTACATTATCCTACCTCTGTTACACAAATAATACATAATCCTACCTCTGTTACACAAATAGTACATTATCCTCCCTCTATTACACAAATAATACATTATCCTACCTCTATTACACAAATAATACATTATCCTACCTCTGTTACACAAATAGTCCATTATCCTACCTCTGTTACAAATAGCACATTATCGTACCTCTGTTACACAAGTAGTACATTATCCTACCTCTGTTACACAAATAATGCATTATCCTTCCTCTGTTACACAAATAATACATTATCCTTCCTCTGTTACACAAATAGTACATTATCCTACCTCAATTACACAAATAGTACATTATCCTACCTCTATTACACAAATAATACATTGTCCTACCTCTGTTACACAAATAGTACATTATCCTGCCTCTGTTACACAAATAGTACATTATCCTACTTCTGTTACACAAATAGTACATTATCCTACCTCAATTACACAAATAGTACATTATCCTACCTCTATTACACAAATAATACATTAGCCTACTTCTGTTACACAAATAATACATTATACTACCTCTGTTTCACAAATAATACATTATGCTACCTCTGTTACACAAATAGTACATTATCCTCCCTCTGTTACAAATAGCACATTATCCTACCTCTGTTACACAAATCATACATTATCCTACCTCTGTTACACAAATAATACATTATCCCACCTCTGTTACAAATAGTACATTATCCTACCTCTGTTACACAAAAAGTACATTATCCTACCTCTGTTACACAAATAATGCATTATATTGAATCCAAAACAAATCATTATCCTACCTCTGTTACACAAATAATACATTAAATAATACATTATCCTACCTCTGTTACACAAATGGTACATTATCCTACCTCTATTACACAAATAATACATTAGCCTACTTCTGTTACACAAATAATACATTATACTACCTCTGTTACACAAATAGTACATTATCCTAGCTCTATTACACAAATAATACATTATCCTACCTCTATTACACAAATAATACATTAGCCTACTTCTGTTACACAAATAATACATTATACTACCTCTGTTACACAAATAGTACATTATCCTACCTCAATTACACAAATAGTACATTATCCTACCTCTATTACACAAATAATACATTGTCCTACCTCTGTTACACAAATAGTACATTATCCTTCCTCTGTTACACAAATAGTACATTATCCTACCTCAATTACACAAATAGTACATTATCCTACCTCTATTACACAAATAATACATTGTCCTACCTCTGTTACACAAATAGTACATTACCCTACTTTTGTTACACAAATAGCACATTATCCTACCTCTGTTACACAAATAATACATTATCCTACCTCTGTTTCACAAATAATACATTATGCTACCTCTGTTACACAAATAGTACATTATCCTACCTCTGTTACACAAATAATGCATTATATTGAATCCAAAACAAATAGCCACAGCAAATCAATAATGTCATAGTGTGTACATACCTGTCTCTACCTTGGAGGTGCGTCTGGTGGTGGGTATGAGGCCGGGGCTCACATTGATTGATGTGAAGGTGTCACCTGCTGTTACGGGGACGGTCCCTGATGTGGTGAAGCGATTCAGACCACTCACCCCGGTGGCTGTGGGTGGAGGCTGTGCTGTAAGGAGAACATTCTACAGCTCTAAAGAATGAAACAACAAAATTACTACCACTATTCTACAAATTAAAAACAACTATTTAATAATCAAAGTATGCAGATGTAACACTCAATAGTAATAACATTACTGCTTCTATATGAACAGTTTTCACTTCATGCAAATGTTTTCAGTCTTCAGTTAAAGTACTTTTAATATAGATTCTCATCCTGTTAGTGTAACTTAAGGTCCAAACTATTGAATGTTGTCATAAATAATATATCAGCATTTTAAAATGTTTTCACATTAAATGCCATGTCTTATTTCTGTGTAAAACAAATCTGTTCTTTTTTTCCCAACAGCATGCTTTTCAAAGTCATCTTCAGAACACTTTTCTGATCATAAATATCATTTACAAATATATTTCTCTAATCTTTATGTTTTCTCTTTAGATACTTTATTTGTACTTAAGCTTTTTTAAACTGTTATTGGTAATGTTTTGTTTTTAATTTTTGCCATATTCATGATCTGAACACAATCCACAAATTCTAATCACCAACAATCTCTTTGCCCACGTACAAACCTTAATACAGTCAAACCTTTATCGAGAGACCTTCCTTGGGAAATACCAAAAATGGTCTCTTAACACAGGAGGTGGTCACAGGAGCAGGTTTGTATGTACGACCAATGGCAGAGTGTGTTGTAACACATATGGAAACATTTCATATTTGGTCCAGATACAATATTAACCCCATTATATTAAGCCACTGTTGTTCAGTAGCTCACACTTGGTAATATTTTACTGATACTGATATTCAGAGTCATGTAAATAGCATAACTTGGGTGTATTCTTACCGTGATTTATTGTGTCATCAAAATCTAAACAGACGGACGCGAAACGGTTGCTAGGTGATGATCCGCTCATATTGGCAGCATTCTGGGAAAATTCTGGATCCCATATTGGTGAATTTGTACCATACACCTCTTCTTCCAACATTGACAAAAATCTGGAACATTTGAAAATACCAACATTTCACAAATCTTACTGCTGATAGATCTTACTTATGAGGTTCTGCACACTGGCCTTGGGAACTCCGATCTGGGTCTAATCATTTGTCTACCTCAGCTATCCTATTTGTGACCAAAGTTTTCTCTAGTATAACATTAAGTTGTGAGACCCTTTTCAAATGATATTTCACATGCAACCATACACTCCAGTTTTACAGATTGATGTTAACTTTAAAAATTTGAAGTATGATGCAAGTATGATGCACATCACGTGCTGAAAAGTTGTGAATTACCCAGGCAGCAGTAATTAATCCTCCCCCCCACCCACCCCCCCGAGAAATTCTGAAAATGTCTGGAAACCAAAATATTGATAATCCTATGTAAAACCAAAAATCCGGACCTCTTCACTGATATCCAGCAACAGATTGACCGTGAGGGGACACTTTTGTTAACTCATTCACCCCTACATATTTTAACTGGACTTGCCCCGTTTTTGATTTGGTAAGGTTCCAATGTGACTTTCGGGGTGAATTGGTTAATGTGGATATTTAACAAGAGATCCCAAAGGGATCTTGGCGCCCACTTTTGTACCATCTTCATTAGTTCTTTGTCAGTTCGATCTTTTCTCTTCTTTTCTCTAATCTGTTTGATTGAGTCATGTTAACAGTAAATGCACCTTGAGGTAACTTTTGATCTAAACTTAATACTGATGTGTATGAAAGTCAACCTTCCAAGTGTGTTGGTCATTTCACATATTTACTAGTACAGTACTTTATGTGAAAGAAATAGAATCGATCATTGCAATATGAGAAAGATCTGATTAGATTTTCTTTTAATCCATTTTGTTTTTATGATCAGTCTCAAAATATAACATACACAATGAGGAATCAAAGGGAACCTACATTTAAAATTTGAGAAAGATCCCTCTAGTTCTTCCGGAGAAATAGCGGTAACAAACCTACACTATCAAAATCCAAGATGGCTGCCTGTCGGCCATGTTGTTTATCCGATCAATCTCAAAAGTTGCCCTGCACAGCTAAGGACCAAGGGGAAACTACATACAAAATTTGAGAAAGATCCCTCTAATACTTCCTGAGAAATAGCAATAACAAACTTTCAATATCAAAATCAAAGATGGCTGCCTGTCGGCCATGTTGTTTACTCGATCAGTCTCTAAAGTTGCCCTGCAGAGCTAAGGACCAAGGGGAACCTACATATAAAATTTGAGAAAGATCCCTTTGGCACTTCTTGAGAAATAGCGATAACAAACTTTCACTATCAAAATCCAAGATGGCTGCCTGTNTGGGCTAAAAATTCCTGACATTATGCCCAAACATCCAAATTAACAGGAGTTTACTGTTTAGTGATTTGATACATTACCTTGGAAAGTGAGTCAACACAAGGGTCCTTTTTTCAGGGGGCATTTTTTCTTTCTCAGCTCGAAATTTATCGAGGAGTTGTCTGCGCATCGTTTGGAAGACAGAGCGGAGAAGAGTGCGACCAAAGATGAGGGTTGTCTCATATCTGGTAAGGCTATCACAGAAGGCAGGCACATGGCAGTAACACAACCACCTGTGGTAATGATAGAAGGATTGACCATAACAAAGACATCTGAGGCATACCCACACATATAACATATTACCTTCCATGGGTGAGAAATTTGGAATATCAACCACCGTATACTCAACAATGATATAGTGTTCTACTGCAATATTATCAATGAATATACAGACAGACCTGAATGATTTCAATTAGATTCAAACAGAGAAGTTTAATTACCCTACTCTATCTATGACAAGAAAATAGAACAACTTATTTTAATGTGAGATTGATTGGATATCAACAACTAAATCCTTCCTTTAACCTTAGACATGTCATTAATGTTTATAGATTAATCCTTCCTTTAACCTTAGACATGTCATTAATGTTTATAGATTAATCCTTCCTTTAACCTTAGACATGTCATTAATGTTTATAGATTAATCCTTCCTTTAACCTTAGACATGTTATTAATGTTTATAGATTAATCCTTTCTTTAACCTTAGACATGTTATTAATGTTTATAGATATCATTCTTAAGCTGATCACATTAATATTTGACAAGTTAATTGTTATCATTTTATACTGTAAATAGGAAATTTGCGTCCAGTCAAACTTTAGCCCTTCGCCCATGAAACTATTTTTTACCCAGTGTTCACTAACTCCTGAACACTGTTATGGAAAAGCCCTCATTACGGTGGGTCAAGAGAGGCGAAAATTAAACTGCAGCGAAATATTCCCGGTATAAAGTATATTGTAAAGTATATTGTATCTGGTAATAAGCCCATACTTGGTGATAGGCCCACCTAAATATCCTGCAATTCAGTAGAAATGCTATCAAATAACTACCAGTACCCTGTTCTAACTGATCCCTCTACTTTGAGTGACAGATTATGAGTAGCGCTCCCTAGATTATATACGGTAATGTAAACCATATACTGTATACAGGGAAATTTTCACTTTTTTCGCCCTCTGCAATGGGGGCAAATTTATTATTAAAGCGAACACTTGTAAACAACACAATAAACATGGTACTTAAATGTGAATTTAATACTGGGTGAAAATAGATTTTACTGTCGAAGGGGCAAACATTTCCTAGTATACAGCAGCAGTACACGTATTCGTTATCCTTACCTAGTGTAGTTGACTTTGTACACAGCCATGTCCTCCGTACCCGCATGCTGTGTTCTGCTGGTCGGAGTTTCTAACTTCCAGTGGTTGAGGCAGTGCAAAAACATCTTAGCCAGATCATACATTGTCTGCCATTCACGTTGAGCCAGATGTCCGAACTTGTATACCACAAAGTTTGTCACTCCCTGTCATAAACAATTATATTACATTATAGTTATTTTATTTCTCTTGGCCTTTGTGTTGAATAAAATCCTTTTCCTTGTTTTCACAAACGATGTTATAGGTCAATATCCAGACTTTCATTAATGAATATACAATAAAAAGTACCAGATTTGCTTTCTCACCTTTGCTATACTGGGTTTCTCAAATGGCGGACTCCCTAGGGGTCCTTCTATGGTGGGTTGGCTCATGTTCAGAATACATTTCCGAAGCAGCTGAAATCAGAGGTAATTCTGTCAATCGTTTCTGATGATTATTTCAGTTATTCACATATTTGATTGACGGCATGATATTTGTACAAATATCATCAAATGCAAGTTAAACATGTTCAGTAGGGCTTATGTATGGTGCCCTATCTGTATGCTTCAAAAAACCAAGATTATTTTTTATTAAAGTGCCTTGTCAATGTTGTTAAAATTTTAACCTTTCCAAAATATAGAATTACCAGGGTACATGACCAACCATTAAAACTCTGGACTTCTGGCTGTTATTTCAAGTCATATTTACAGCTGTTGAAATCTTATTTGTCGGCGATACAGAATAAGCGGTTGAATAACTGTCAGGGGGGTTTGTAGTGGCATGGATTTAACAATTCATACATACCTTAAACAGGTAGAAATAGACTTGTTTTGTTTCTGCATCTTCTTCCTTGTGTACGCACATGAACAGGTTTTCAACATCAACAACAATTCTCAGCAACCGGTTTAATTCAGATTCCTCTGTGTTTTCTAGGTGGGAGACGTGAGCACCTGGAAAAAATTAACACCTCTAACACCTCAACATTCAATTTGAACAAACACCCACATCTACATCTAAGTGTGTAACTTCAGCATATAGCCCAGCAGTGTACCATACACATCAGTGGGTTCCATCTGTAAGATTCGGGAAGTTTTTCGGAGTGCATACATTTGGTTATTATCTTCTACATAGTACACACTAGAGTTGTCCTAATTATAAGCTTTTCACCAGGAAAAGTCCCTTTGATGGATTCATAGTGTAGGTCATATGTCTTACTGCACAAAAACAACACAGAATTAAGGCTTACTTGAAAACATAACCAACTACACACATCAAGCAGCTGGCACCTACAAAATGTTTTTTTCTACCACGATACGTTGTGTTATTCCACTCTCAGATCATTGTATGAACATGCAGACTGTTGAATAAATATGAGTTATACACCACACATGGTATATGACCTTCCATAGTTTTGATTGGTCACGAAGATGAACCTTGACCAGACGACTATATTCACTCACTTATTATTGCATGCTGTTTTGTTTACATCATCTGCTGTCAACATCCAGCAAATGTTGGTGACTTTTGTGAGATTATGCGATGGGGGGGAAAAGGGGGTTATTAAGGCAATACCAAAAGAAGATGATGCTTAAAGACTTGATCGCTAGTTTCAGGCAAAATTGCTAGAGACGCTCGATATCATTTCGACACCATACCGTCGCGTGTCCAGGTCGTGAAACCCAGAGACGTAATATATATGTCTCTGTGAAACCCAAACAAGATCTGTAACAGTGTCGGAAATAAACTTCAATTTCAATCATCTATCTTAATTACGAGAGTACACTTCCATATTTAGAGTATTAAGACTTAGCCCAAAGGCAAATTTTGGAAAATTCTACAAGCCCAACCTGTATTTTCATAGTAACGTACATTGAAAATGTTCACTGGCTCTGACATAATCTCTGCTAGCCTCCGGTGTCAACCTAGAGGAATTGTACACCTCTAGCCTCTGGTGTCAACCTAGTGGAATTGTACACCTCTAGCCTTTAGTGTTAACCTAGTGGAATTGTACACCTCTAGCCTCTGGTGTCAACCTAGTGGAATTGTACACATCTAGCCCCTGGTGTCAACCTAGTGGAATTGTACACCTCTAGATCTGTAAACAGTAATTCAATTTGGGTATACTGTAATTATGCAGTGTAGCTGGGCCAACTGACTAGTGACCCCATGGTGGACGGGGCGGCGGTGGCCAAGTCGTTAAGGCGTCTGACATTCTGCTACCACTAGCCCTCCTCCACCACTCAGGGTCGTGGGGTTCGAGACCTATGTGGGTCAGTCGCCAGGTACTGGCTGTAGGTCTAGTGTTTCTCCAGGAACTCCGGCTTTCCTCCACCACCAAAACCTGACATGTCCTTAAATGACCATAGCTGGTAATAGGACCTAATACACAAACAAACCAAACCAAAAGCCCTATGGTGACAGTCTTATTTAGTTGGTAGGGTGTCTGTTTAAAGTTTAAAGGTCATAGTTAAGTCCTTGCCTGACCAGTTGCATTTTACTGTTCCAGTTATTTCTGGAGCGAGCAACATGTTACTCGAGTATAAATTCTATTTTGCTGAATATTAATTTTTACAAAGCCTTTGTATTTAATATGTGAACCTGTTATTGCTTGAAATCATATACTTTCATGGATATCCTGTTGGATTTTAAACTGTGATTGTGTTTTCTTACCAAGTGTATGTGAACAGCTGCGACAGGGGTCGGTGAGGTTCGCCAGGGGCTGTGATACGTCCATTCGTGGGGGAGTGGGAGGGGGGTTAGGATTCTTCCATCCATTGCACTTACAGGAATCGGACTGCTAAATACAAATAGTCAAGTCATCTTTTTGTGTTTTACTGATTTACAATTATTCCTTCAATTCTGAAAAAGCATGATTATCAAATGATAACTTAACCATAAATGCGAAAGTCTTGTCTCTCTTACATTTAAAATGTTGACATTCAAACTAAAATCACATGTACTTTTTACAAATTTTCAGATACAGCATTGTGCCAATAGCGATGCGATAATCTCTCTTAGTTATTCTAAATTTCATGCATTTTTACCTTTTTTAAAGAATTTTCTGGGGTAAATTAAATACAGTGTTACTGAAACAGTATGCATTTCCATATAACCAGTTAACAGTCTGATAATATTTTCATACATATGATAAATGCAAGGTACAAATGTATTGTATTTAGATGAAATTGATTTTACAATGTCATTTTGTTCTTCATCTTACAAAATAATGGCAATGATTTTTTCCCAAGAATAACTTACTCTCACTACATATTGTAACTAATTACATAGAAATATACGAAAACGTGTCTGATAAAACATCAATTAATTCTCTTTCAGTGTGTCCAATTTTATTTCAATGTCATAATACTTCAATGAAAAAAGAAAGAGATGCAAGAAATATATAGTAAATCTGGGCATATTGCCAATACTAACTTTTGGCACAATGCTGTCTTGGAAATTACATTTTGAAAATTTGCGTTGACAGTATGTTAAGCTTGTCAGACTTTGAACAAATGGACATGAAATTCTGTCCATGACATATATAGTAGGCCTTAATAAAAATATATATAATTTCCGTTTTAACAGCTGAAATATTATCATTAATACGAAAAATAATTATCTTAATGAGCACACATTAAAGATGGATGTTTTTCTTTGTTCTAAACGAATTTTTATTGCAAAGTGTCGAAACAATGTTTATCTCATGACATTGTTTACTTTTTTTTCTGAATATTGACAGTTGCCAAAAAGACACCAAAAAGACTTCTAATCTATTCCCAGATAATAAACACGCATGTTCACTATTTAAATGAAAGCTATACAAGTTACTTACTACAAACATTACAACAGTGAATACATAATGCTGAAAGAAACCTGGCGAATATTACAAACAACAACAGAAGATGGTAAACCTTGCAAGAAGAATACACTGCTAATTTCTCAAGCTTCTTTGTCTTTGGGTAGTTCAGTACGATCGCTTTCTTCTGTGCTATTCGCTGCAGATGATTCGGTCGTGACATTTCCCCTGTTGTGCCCTGTGTGAGAGTCTGTTTTGATTGTGCACTGGTTCCATTTTGGAGGGGTTTGTCTAAAGCGTCCGACATCTTTCATCTTTCCGTTCGATTTCGTCTAATTTCGGAACACGAAGCGTAGCGTAAATCCGAAGGGTTCCGAATAAAAGTAATACTAAAAACGACATCGGACCAACAGTATGGGGAAATTACACAAAGCTAGACTTTCACGGACGATTGATAAGAAGTTAGGTTTTAAACAGAATATGTTTGCCAGAAATAAATGACAAGAGTATCGGTTGCAAGTAACATTATAATGCCCTCTCCAGTTTAAACATATTTACAATCGGTGTAACTTGCCATAATTGGGATTACCTACCTGTGCATTGGAAGATGAACGCAACACACAGGTGTTTGCACATTTACATTTGGTAATAGATACAGAATCCCAAAAATGAATTACTTTACATCATACAGCTGTTTCGTGTTTCTAGGACTCATCGGTGATGCTAGGGGCCAAAACGTTGGAAATCCAAATTGCCTAAACTCTACTATTGAAACAGAGGGGCATGCAGGTGCGTAAACCTATTAATTTATGAATTTACAAATTCGGAGAAAAGTATTTGTTAATTTCGAATTAAACAATCTATAAAGTATTATATTATGAACCGTGCCACTACTCAAAAGAGATAACTGATGTTCCGAAATAGTTCAAGTTACAATCATCGTTGAAAAGAAATCTGTTATATATATACCATATATATATAATAAGAGAGTTTGTGCACAGACTAAGATAATTCCATGGTTTGTGTAAATAGTTAAAAAATATTCTGATAGAAGATTTGTTTAATAGAGAATGAACGATATTGATCAAGATATCTTTTGAGTTCTGTTAAATCCCAAATCCATGCATACTTCTGTAGTATATAATGTCTATTTATAAAGAATTGTAGAAGGAACTTTGGATAATGGCATCGTTGAGTACCTAGCAGAGCTGGAAACAAAACGATTTCTATAATAACTCTCGTGAAGTTTCGTATCAAATACAAACTGTATGGTAAAAATAAAAGGCGACCTAAAATAGATCCTTGGCGAACGCCTGCTTTCATATCGCACAAGATAGAGAACTCAATAGCTGGCCAGATATTCTATATTATTTCAATTTGCTTATGAGCCCTTATGACATACACAACCAAATGCCATATATTTGTCACAGAACATTAAACATAGGATGCATTCTTTCCTTCAAAGCTAAATGAACAAGAAACAAAAGAGTTGGTATGAAGTCGAAAAATCATTTAGACTGGATTATGAGAAGTTCTTTTTACACAACCAATAAAATGTTCTATGTGACGTTTCGATGACTAGTACGATATGTACACTGTCACCTTCATCAGACAAATGACCAGTAAAGCGTATGCACACAAAGGTGTACAATGTGTACGTCTATACAATCGATGTCGATTTCGGCTACGCTGGAAACGTATGTACAATAGTTAACGTTGTTATAGATGTACCGAAATGACTCAATTCAGCTACGCTTTGTTAACACTTGGTCATAGATGCGCGAGAGTCTTTGAGCCCCTCGTCTCGTCTCCATACTTACCAACCCGAAGAAAATGTTTAGAAATATCATTTATACTGGTTTTGCAAAAAAAAGTTAGTTTTTCGTTCAAAACAGTTATGAATATATTTGAAACTAATCTTTACAAAACTGTTCTCATCAGTATAAGTATAAGAAATCCTTCTGAATAAGGGTATTTCCAAGGTCGAGGATATGTACTTCGGTAAAGAAACATATCACAACTAGCATGAGGCTGAACGGTATTAAATAACGACTATTATCAATAGATGCGATACCACAGAGTAATATTGATTGAAATATATTTGAAAAATTGATATCCTTTTCAACTGTTAAAAACAGACAGATGCACATATATCCCAACCCGCGGTGATGAAACTGGCATCAGGATATATAATGGCCACCAGGGACACTCACACTATGACGCAATGGGAAACGCTACACGAGACAGATAGTAATCTAGGACACATATTTACATGATAATATTATCAAATGTAGTTGGATATTGAGAAGATATTTGCAAAACAAGCTGATGACATATCAAGAAAGGTTTGAGCTTATAGTATCTATATAGTATCTAACGAGTTTTTAAAATCTATCATGTCTGTACAAAAAGTATTACGAGTTTAAATCTGTCATGTCTGTACCGTAGTGTTTTAGATTGCCGTCCACTCCGCATGTTGTCTGTCTCTGTCAATCGACAGAACAAGCTTGAACCAACAACAAATCAAAGCAATACTCACGTGCTTGGACAGCCCATAAACCGCGTGACACTCGTGTCAATCAAATGAACCTACGAGCATGCGCAATACGTTACACGTGTTGGATCGGTCGGCCGCCATTTTCAAAAGTTCAATGATACTAACATTTAAAACAGAAAATGCAGGAGAAAGGCATTACAAACCAGAGATAAGTTTGTATATCCTTATTTTTTCTCTCTTTGTTATCAAGGGAAAAATTATCTTTGCTTTCTTTTGTTTAACTTTAAATATGTTTATATGTGCTTGTAAATTTACTTGTTAGTTTTCGCACGTTTTGTGGTTAAAATTGCATTTGTGAGCTAATTCAAGATTTTGTTATTTTTTCCTTTGGCTTGACCTGTAGCAAATAGTCTCGTTGAACTTATTGGCATGACTTTGCATGAAGCCGTCGGTTTGTGACAAACATTTAACTATACAACAAATGTGTATTGATCAGTGTCTAACATTTTATGTCAGTAGTGTTTTCCAGGTGGAGTCAGCAGATTGAGCAATGAAGAGCTATGTTCACTTAATGTTACTTGAAGCGAATCTTGTTGGATTAGATCAATCTCTCCCTAATAAAAACACTAAGTGGAAGCCCACATGTAAGTGTGTTAATGCACACAGAAGCACGGAAATAGAAAACGCTGTTTCATGAAATATACTGAAATCAAATCAGACCACCTTCTGACGGCAGACCGAATTCGACATCTCTTAGTTGCAACTTGAGTGTGTCGACCTACATACAAAAATGGCGTAAGAGTATAAGAAATCTCCATCTTTGAGAAGCGTAAACTATATGAACATCGAGAGGGGATTCCTTGGATTTCGAAGATGGAGTCCCCCGTGGTAATGACTACTAGTTCTCTACAAAGTTGCAGTCGCATGTGCTCTGTGGTAGAGCTCTATCCTGCTAACGTTGTCACCAGCGTTCCCACACTATTATCAAGCTGTCTTCGTCCATTCTTTTCAAGTGTGTTTTCAAACAGTTGGTGCAGTGTTTACCTGTTGTCACTGCTGGGTATTGATATTTATGAATACAGTAATTTCTAACAGAAGAATAAAGGTACATTATGTCACAAAATAAATAGTTTATTTAGTGATTCTCTGCAGAAATGTTTACTTTAAATTGATCATATAAATATTGTGATTTTTTTTTATCGAACAAATGTTGTTCAGTATTAGAAATCAAATTAAAAGGAACAAGCAAAAACTACAGTAATCGAACTTAGAACCTACCCACTGCCATCCCCACAATATATACTTGTGCTGCTACCCAAGAAGTATTCAGTGCCCAATGCGCAACATGAAACTGACTGTTGAATACATTGACGACTGAAGGAACTGTCAACCAAACAATCCTTTATGTTGCATTATCTTCTATATAAAAGGGAGAATACAGACAAAAATGAAGGAGAAAAAATGAAAGAAAACATAACCTACACCAGAGACATATAAACCCATAGCAAAAACATGAAATCGATATCATCCGAATAGACTACCCGATACGGGCGCGCTTCGGTATTTCGGTATGGAAAGAGTCAGTTTCTTAATTATCTCTAGTATATACGTCTCTGCATACACGTACTTATTTAGAGATAACGACGTATTTAAGTTTTTCACCTGTCAATATTAGCATTACCGTGCGGTTTGTAACTGATAAAAACGATCCAAATTAAAACTGTATCTTGTCTGACTTATAAACAGTTTTTAGGAAATTGGTTTATATTAGTGGCGTTATAGTGTTTCCTCTGAAACCCCACACACAACATCTTGAGTATATGTTACAGTCCCAACTGAAATTTTTATATGAAAAACAAATTGTGTCAGTATATTTTGAGTATGAAGGTTGTTGGAGCCGATAAGATTAATACATATCGTAGTAATACTCTGTACGATTTTCTGTCGGTCTTTTCGATCGCCTGTTGTCGGTTGATGTCGGTAGGCGGGAGCTTTCGCACGGTCGCTTACATCGCAGAAAATCTACATCCGGTTTTCAACACGTGTTGTTTGTGAAATGACATGTTGTGGTAAATTATAGAAATGGGGATGGAGACTCAGCAAACACATAGACCAGGACAGTGGAAACAACAAAATAAAACCCACAAACACGGAAAACATAGGAGTAAAGGCCAATTAGAAAGGGAATCCCAAGGTATGTGTACCGTTCGTTTCAGCTATACTGTATCAAGACATAAGCTGAACCTTTTCATTCGCAAGGTTGTGTTGATCATCTTGAAAGACAGTTCAGATGAACGTCCATTTAATAAAGTGCATGAAAAAAATAACTGTAAGCTGTATAACTCACAAAATGCTGTCAACATTGAGCAGTTGATAGAGGACATTAACTATGAAGATAAAATGAAGATGAAAACATCATCGTTATTCATGTTTGTCAAGCATACCTTTTCATATCAACTTGACTTCGACATTTAAAAACTTGCAGTACTAATAAGCAATAACTCAACAACAATTTATTTATAGGCAGAGTAAATGTAAAGACATTGTCAAAAAGAAATAAACAACAAGCAAGAAAGAATGACAGAAGACATCAGGTGAGTACAAGTGTACTATTTATACTGGTCAGTATAAACATTAAATTGTACTGCCCCTTTATTTGTGACATGAAAAAGGTATTTAATTAACACACAAAGAGCAGTTTTTACATCTGATAAAAAAGGACCAAAATGACATGATTACAGGGCAAATTGAGATAATCACATAGCCCATTACTGTATTGTATCCCCATCACTTACACAAATGAACAGTGTTCATCACATGACATTTCAGTGATTGACACTGTGATAGTGTAATGCAGCTCCTGAGTCGGGTAAGCAAAAGCTGAGTTTTGTAAACACACAGGCAAAGCGTAAACAAATAGGTAACACATTCAAGATCAGAGGCATATATATATATATGGGAATAAGTTGTCTGGCCCGAAGGGCCAAGTGAGCTTATCCCATGGTGCAGCGGCCGTCGTCCGGCGTCCGGCAACTTTTTCCTTTAAAATGCTACTTGTCCTGAATGGCTCAGAGGATTTTGACCAAATTTGTTCGGGAGCATCATTGGCCAAAGGGTTCTCAGTTTTGTATAAACGGAGGGTATAACCCCCCTGGGGGCAGAGGGGCGGGGCCAAATAGGGAAAAATAGGTAAATCTTTAAAAATCTTCTTCTTCTCAACCAATAGAAGGATTTTGACCAAATTTGTCCTAGAGCATCTTTGGACAAAGGAGACTCAAGTTTGTATAAACGGAGGGTGTGGCCTCTCTGGGGGCGGAGGGGCGGGGCCCAATAGGGGAAATAGAGGATTTTTTTTCTCCTGCTATACAAGTGAAGGGATTTTAACCAAATGCAGTCTGAAGCATGATTAGGGACAAAAGAATCAATTTTGTATAAACTGAGGTGTGTGGGCCTCCTTCTAAGGGCAGATGGGTGGGGCCCATTAGGGGAAATAGAGGAAAACATCAAATATCCTTCTCCTTTTGTACCGATGAAGGGATTTTGACCAAATTTGGTCTGGAGCATCATTGGCCAAAGGGTTCTCAGTTTTGTATGAACGGAGGGTATGGTCCCCCTGGGGGCAGAGGGACGGGGCCAAATAGGGGAAAATAGGTAAATCTTTAAAAATCTTCTCCTCAACCAATTGAAGGATTTTGACCAAATTTGTCCTAGAGCATCTTTGGACAAAGGAGACTCAAGTTTGTATAAACGGAGGGTGTGGGCCTTCTGGCGGCATAGGAGCGGGGCCCAATAGGGGAAATAGAGGATTTTTTTTCTCCTACTATACAAGTGAAGGGATTTAAACCAAATGCAGTCTGAAGCATGCTTAGGGAGAAAAGAATCAATTTTGTTTAAACTGAGGTGTGTGGATTCCCCTTCTTTGGGGCAGATTAGTGGGGCCCATTAGGGGAAATAGAGGAAAACATTAAAGATCCTTCTCCTTCTGTACCGTTGAAGGGATTTTAACCTAACCAAACTTGTTTTAGAGAATCTTTGGGCAAAGGGAATTGAATATTTATAAATGGAAGATGCAACTTTGTTACTTGTACTCCTTTGATAAACCTGAATGGTACTCAGCAGGTTTTAAATTGAATAATAAAATACCAGGTGAGCTATTAAGGCCCTTGGGCCTCTTGTTTAGATTTACAGTACAGTGCTTTTCTGTTTAGAATTTTTGTAATTAATGATACGAAAATGTAAAGTTACTTTCACAATTACCATTGATTGGTGTGGAACTAAATCCAAAATACTCTTCATTTCTGTCCAAGGCCCAGCAATTACGAAAGCAAAAGAGAGATGAGGTGTTGGAGAAGAAAAGGAACAGGGGATGTCAAGGATCACCCCCACATTTTGTGGTAAGGTTGTTATTGTTTTGCATCAGTATAAGAATAGAGGATATTGAATGGTTTCATGAGTATTTTAGATTTCTTTACATTTTCACATACCAGTAGTTCCAAATAACATTAAAAAATGATGAACTGATGATATATACAATGCAGTGGCGGATCCAGAGACCTATCTGGGGGGGTTTCCAAATTTCCTGGGGGGGTTTCCATGTGGGGAAAATTTGAGGAAAATGGTGAAAATACATGATTTTTAAAGAAAATTCTAAGGGTGGGGGGGTTTCCTGAAGCCCAAAAAACCCCTCTACCCCCTGGTATTAAAATGACAGCCTTGAGCCTTGCATAGGAATGCAAGATATGATACTTAGGAAAGAACAAGTGTTCCAGAAGTATATAAATTTATACTATCAAGCTCAATGCCAAAATGTATTTACCCAAAAATAATACCTCAGTGTGTATTGTGGTAAATTCAATTATTTTAAATTTCATTGGGTGTCCTAGAGTCTGGGAAGGAAAGGTTTCTTTTATTCAAACCCAGGTCAGGTCTGCTGCATTTTTCTTTGCCTTATTACAGATGAATGTCAGTTGTTTATGTTCTTTTAATATTTTTTTGCACTAGATCATTTGATTTCTTTTCATGTATCTTTATTTAAATCTTAAAGGTGATATTGCCTCTTCATAAAAATGTCACCTGTGATGCAGTTTTGGAATTGTTAAAGAAATGTGATGAAACAGCAGTGATTTCTCACAATGAGCAAGGTGTCTCTCATATCAGGTAAATATAGAACACAGTGATTTCTCACAATGAGCAAGGCGTCTGTCATATCAGGTAAATATAGAACACAGTGATAGGCCGGTTGTAGGAACTCTTTAGGCTAGAATCGTGTAGAGGGACATAAGATGGACCTTTATGCTTTAATAAACATGTTGGTCATGTTTGGGAATAATTTTTTTAATCAAATTATTTAAGTAGTAGTTATTCTTAAGAGATGCTGTAAGTGTCATTAACAAAACAGTAAGTTTTTGTGTTCTTAGGTGCATCGGGAAGCAAAAATAACACATTCCAACTAACTTGGCTACTTATAAGTCTTGTAAGCCACATCAAATTAAATAAATACTATATAGTTTCTTAATCAAAGTTTCAATTTTATTTGAACAAACTTTTCATCATTAAAATAAGAGAAGCAGAACAGACAACATGTTTACCGGTATTTAAGATCTTGTAATTTAATTCTCAGTATACCAAGATTTAAACAACGGTTGTCATTCTTCATACCGGAGTATGGCAATCTCCATGCTGTCCTGGATGCAGCCAAAATTGCAGATTCCTTGTTGTGTCTCATGTCCCCAGAGGGCGCTGTTGACAGTGTGGGGGAGCATTGTATCTCATGTTTATATGCACAGGGGCTTCCTGCAGTAACATTTGCTGTACAGGTATGTATATGTCTAGCATTGAATAGAGTGTGTGTGTGTTTATATTAGCAAATTCTTGAAGTTAAATAAATAAGTTGTTATTTTGTTTTCTTCATGAAAAAATCACTATATTTTGATCAAGGTTTTAAATCATATACTATATTTTGATCAAGGTTTTAAATCATATACTATATTTTGGTCAAGGTTTTAAATCATATACTATATTTTGATCAAGGTTTGATGGTATATTATCTGGATTGACTTGCCACAAACACCAGAACCTTGTACAAAAGTGTTATTACCTGTCTTTTTTTAAACCATTACACTGTCCTGTAATAGCAATGTGCTTTTGAAAGCTCAACAGATCAAATAAATTTGACAGTATGTTTATTAATTGGCATTTACTACAATTTACCTCTATCTCTGAGTCAGATAAATCTATTTCTAGCTATTCTGAACTATCCATTTCAGGGTCTGAAGACATTAAATATGAAAAAACAAAATGAAGCAAAGAAAATCATTCAGAGACATATAGACAAAAGGTATGGTATGACAGCATTCTGGATTGAGTGATTACAATTACACCTTTTGCCTAATTCCTTTTGAATTAGTATACAATATCAATAAAATCTTTGTGAAATGAAAAATTGCAATTAATGTTTCAATAGTTGTTCAGGTAAACAGCAACAGCAGTATTGTATTTTGTTAATTTAATGACTTGTCACATGATTATTGTATCAGAAAAGTGTTCAAATGAATGACTTTTGAAATGTATCACTTGATAAATACCAAATGCTGGTTGAAGAATTAATGTGTACCTTATGGCTGTAGTGCCCGTGTACTACAACAGTTACCTCCCCTTGCAGTCATGCTTAGCACTATCAGTTATGCTACCTTTTTGGCCACAAGAGGTGCTTTATATCAATCAGCAACAATGTGTCTGCTGTTAGTGTTGAATGCCTGACAGTGCTAAAAATGCATTAATGTCTTGGTCCTCAAGCCCATTGCTGTATTGGAACCAATAAACTACACTGCATTTTAAGTATAAGAAATTGCATCTAAAAATCAGTGCAAAAAACATACTTGTTTTTATGCACACAGATTCCAGTAAATTATCAAATTTGTGCACTTGTAGTAGATTAATTTATAAATGAATTGGCATACCAAGATTATTTGTAGTAGAAAACAATATAAAGAAAATCCAAATAGAAAAGTAATTAATCAGTGCGTAAAGAGCTAAAAATCTAAGAGTTTTAGTACATGTACAGTACACAGTAAAAACATTATCGCTGACCCCTGTTATATTGTAGTCTGTACAGTGCTGTCTTTGAGTGACATTTTCCTGTCATTTGGCTTAGGATCTAATGTATTCTTGAACATCACCATACTGATCTCAACAGAAGGCAATCAGTGATCTAGCTTAAAATGTGTTTCCTTTTTTGTGATTTTTTTAATTGTTGCATGTTATTTTATGAACTAGTTACTCAATAACTTTGTGCCATTGATGGGAATATTATTTTGATTTTGTCAGGTTTCCTGCAGAGAAATTCCATGCTATAGACTCGCCCCAGGATGCTCTACTTATACTGCGGCGGATCACCAGCCACAAGCTGCCCCCAGTTTTCTTTAGAGACAATAGGCCACATCTCTTGGCTGAAAACGTTGAGTTTGAAATTGAGAATGAAGAGGTAAAGAATTTATACGATTTAAGTTGACCCAGAATTAGTTCCAGTAAATGCAGTCCCATCAGACTTGGATAATGTTGGAATAAATATCAGTTTATCTGTAAATGATATATATGTTCTCCATACTGAAAACTCTTGCTCAGTGAAATATTGGTATTTACGCTGAAAAGTAATCATAGTGTAAATATTATGTATAGTAAGGTGTTATCTTATATTTGCCATCATGATGTATTCACTCATTTCGCCGAGAAGGAAAATGTAATTGTGTTGACCAACTTACCAGTAACATCTCTTTGTGTACAGCAAATAGATATGGTTGTACAGTCTCTCATCTGTCCGTTGTCTCACCCTAGCGTTGAGACGGGGAGATGCCCCTATTCATAACAATGGTATGACATTGCTTCAACAATACACTGACGTCATGTCAACCCTGAATTTAGCATGTAACGTGATCATTACATTGTGTATATGATACACATTAGGAGAACAGGATAGGAGAAAAAGAATCATTCACCCCCTTTGTGAGTAAGATAGGGGAATCTCAACCCTCGGGGGGGGATTCCCCTATCTTATCCACAAGGGGGTGAGAGATTCTATTAATCACTCTTATGTCTTATGTCTTATCAACTGCTTACTAGGTATTGTTTTTGTTTTTAGAGTGAGGTTGGGACACTGAAGTTGTCGGGGTACCTGCGAGGGCGATCACTGTCTGCTAACGGGCTCATCCACTTGCCAGGATGGGGTGACTTTCAGATGTTACAAATTGATGCACCTAATGACCCCCATCCCTTCAATCAGAAACTTGTCCAAGATTCACGGAAACAAAATGGTCTGGTAGGTCTCCTAAAATTTATGTTATTAGTAGAAATTTAGCTTGAACAGAAAGTTAAAAAATGTAACCACAAGAAGAAATTTAGTTTGAAATAGAAAATGACACCAGTCCACCAATTATGCTACTTATAGTTGCTATTATAAGCTTCTGAATTAAAGGTAAAAACAAATCAATGGGTTAAATAGAGAGAGAAAATTTTTGCTTTTATGCATCAAGGCAGATGAATATGTTCATGATGTTCAAAAAGTACAGTTGAAGACCATCCTCAGGTGATAATTTCATTTATAAAAAAAAAGCAAATTATAAATATTTTTTCAGAATATCTGAACAATATTTAAATTAAATATTTTAGCAATATGGTTTCCAGACCTGATCTTTCGTGTATGTGTATCTTAAGTAGTTCTCTTGTTTCTCTTTAACAGGATGTGGATATGGACGGAGAAAAGGAAGAGGTGAGGATGTTGGAGAAGGCTGATCCCAAACACCAGGAGTCCCTACAGAGTGAGGTAATACCGGACCCGTTAGAAGGGGAACAGACCTGGCCTACAGAGGCAGAGATGGCTGAGGGTAAGTAAACAAGAACTGTTACTGAAACTTACTTTTCTTCGAGTTCAGTGGTTCACGTTATTAACTAAGTTTCATTTGTGTCTACTTTTAATGTGCTTACTGAGTTGGTGTTCTGTAAAACATAATTTTATTGGTGTAACTTTTAAAGAATCTGGCTCTAAGATCACCAATTTAAGAAACCATAAAACGTTACAAGAATGTACTTGATTATTCTCCAATTTGAGGAAATCCCAGCTTAAAACCAAACTAAGACTAAAAGGGTATGCAAAATTACTTTCCTTAAAAAAAGAACTCTGTGGAAACAAAATATACTCTTTCTGTTTTACACTAAACCCTCCCCCAATATACTTTGATTGATTGCCCTATTTCTGCGTTTTTTCTTTCAATTGTTGTGTTAATCACATAAATATGTTACAGCTGAACAACAATCCAAAAGGAAGACAATAAAGAAAGTACCAAAAGGTACATCAGAATACCAGTCGGCCTGGATACTGGATGATGATGATGATGATGATGAAGATGTGGTTAATACTAAGGTATCTTTTAGAAAAGTTTCATCCTTATACCATTGCTGTTAAAAAAAACCAAAAACAAAAACAGAACTGCTCCATTTATTCTTCTTGAATTGAAATAATGCAAGTCCTAAAATGTGGGAAAGTTCAAATCATAGAATCATTCAACTGATTCTTTTGTATTTTCGTCGTCAGGGATCTTCTATGTATCTGGACACTGATAATCAAAGTTTTTGTTTTTACTCGAGTTCAAAACTGGGAGTTTAATACTGATAATTGATGTTACACTACAACAGTGACATGTTGGGGCTTATCTTTATACTATTGCTGTTAAAAAACCCAACAGAATTGCTCCATTTATGTAACTTGAAGTGTGGGAAAGGTCAAATGATAAAATCATTCAACTGATGCAAGTGACATGAGTATAATTAGATTCATATTTGAATATCTATTTCTTGTGTGAAAGGGAGCTTCAAAGGAACATCAAATGGATGATGAAGACGATGATGAAGATGAGGATGAAGATGATGTGGACATGGAAGCAGAGGAGGAAGAAGACTCGGACGGGGATGAAGAAGCATCTGGTGATGAGGAATTTGAAACCGTAAGTCCTGACGGTAAACTGTTATCTGTAACTTACATCGACTCTCATACATTATTCCAGAATTGACTAGATTAGAGGGCAGTTCAATTCCACCCACAAGTGTCAGTTTATGGTAGAACCCCACTGGGTTTTTTTTATGTCCGAATATGCAATGCATTATGTTAAGGCAATTAGTATAGTAATGTTGGTACATTTGTATGTCTTTTCATCTGTCTGTCTGAAATGGAATTTTTTCACTGACGAAGAACATTTCTTGACACTTTATACACCATTGGCTTGTGTGTTTCACACCACTGGTTTTGTGTTCCTTTAAGAATAAAAAAAATAAATATTTCCAATTTACAGTTAACTGTGACAGAGAACAATGATGCTGAAAGATATGATGAAAATATGGACATGGATGAAGAAAAAGCCATGTAAGTATTGCATAACAGTCCTTTTACATTTTCGTTGTCAGGGATTGCCTATGTTTCTGGACACTGATAATCAAACTTTTTGTTTTTACTTGAATTCAAAATTGGAATTGTTGACTCACTTTTAATAGTGATAGTTGATGTTATACTACAACAGTGACATGTTGGGGCTGTGGGGCTTTATGCACTTGGCCGAGTGACTGTATAATGGGATAGTACCACCACAGTTCAATTGTTGCCTTTTTTGACCTCCATAAGTGTCAGAGGGCAAAAGAATTATCAGAACAGCAATTATCAAAAACAGCACAAGGTACATAATGTGACAGGTGCATAGGTGTAAATTAAAATATGGATTTAAGCTACAGAGGGCAAAAGAATTAACGTAACAGCAATTATCAAAAACAGCACAAGGTACATAATGTGACAGGTGCATAGGTGTAAATATGGATTTAAGCTACAGAGGGCAAAACTTTGATGGGGTAAACATTTCCTGTTGTGCAATATATTATTTAGACATTTACATTTCCAAATAGAGATTGTGAAAATATTTTGTATGCCTGCTTTTGGATAGTATTTGATAATAAGTTCAAGTAGGAATAAGCTGTTTTAATCTGGGAGAAATACTGTATACAAGTACTGCAAAATTTTGGTAGCAGTTTAACTTTCGCCTTTCTCAACCTCTATAATATGGGTGAATTTATCCTTACAGTGCATATTAGACCACCATATACATTTTACGTTTATGAAAGACAAAATTAACAATTGGCTAGTATGGATTTTTCCAGTTAAAGGGGATTGTTTCACTGGGTGAACGTTTCATGATATACAGTATGGTTCACAATATTGCCTGGGTTAACTAGTTGATTGAAATCCAGGTTTGAGAAGATGAAGGAGGAGAAGCTACATGTGATGTTCCCAGACGAGGTTGACACACCAATGGAAAAGGTTGCTAGGCAGAGGTTTGCCAGGTAAATAAATAACAAGCCAATCTAACACATTCGTTAATACCCAGACGAGGTGGACACACCAATGGAAAAGGTTGCTAGGCAAAGGTTCGCCAGGTAAATAAATAACAACCCAATCTAACACATTCGTTAATACCCAGACGAGGTTGACACACCAATGAAAAAGATTGCTAGGCAGAGGTTTGCCAGGAAAGTAAATAACAACCCAATCTAACACATTCGTTAATACCCAGACGAGGTTGACACACCAAAGGAAAAGGTTGCTAGGCAGAGCTCTTTGCCAGGTAAATAAATAACAACCGAATCTAACACATTTGTAAATACCCTGATGAGCTGTGAGGTCTAGCATATTGTATGTGTAAATGAGATCCATTAAACAACTGTATGCAAGATGTGAATTGGATACTAGCCTTGGTGGAGTTCTCTATTTACATCGACTCAACACTTAATTGAGTCGCTTTATATCTGTGTTTCAAGTAACATGTAGCTCAAGGAAGTGTAATCGGGATATTCTATCAAGGGTTGCTGTTAAAAAAACAATCAATCTGGGTTGCTGTTAAAAAAAACAATCAATCTGGTATCTTTCTTGTAAAGATTTAGACATGGAATATTAAAAATTGAAATTAAAAAGAAAGAAGGGGAAGGTTAATTTGCTTGAAAATGTCTGGGCAGGCTTCTTGTCTAAAGCTGTTGTTTTGATGTAATATGACATTTGAGCGAAATAGTGATATAACGTCAGCTAAATTTTGTCTTGCATTTAAACATACCTCCAAAACATTCCCAACGTGAAGGATGTTTGAAAAAGCAATGTCATGTTGAATGTGCTACAGTTGCTATCCACTCTTTACCATCCAGGTACCGTGGCTTGCAGAGCTTCAGGACGACCTTGTGGGACCCCAAAGAAAACCTTCCCTTGGATTATGCAAGGATATTTCAGTTTGGAAACTTCAAGAAGACGAAGAAGAGAGTCCTAATAGAGGAAAATGATGGAGGTGCAATGGTGGGCAATTTATGACACTAATTCTCAAATATTTAAAGAATAGCAACAGTTTTTGCAAAAAATATGTATAAAATGCACTTGAACTAAAATTCAAATACTGTACTTATTAAAGTTACATATTTGTTTCAGACTGGTTGGTACATCACTGTGCATGTAGCTAACGTTCCCAGGGAGTTTATGGGTAAGTGAAGTTTTATTTCAAACATGGTTTCCTTCAGATATAGAAGTATATTGAAATTAATTAGGAAAGCCCCCCACCTAAACCATGGTTTAGAAATGTAATCTGGAAGTATTAAAAAAAATGTATTTGGTTAATTTTAAGAGTTTATTAAGTATTATTTCTGTTGTGTTTATCCAGTGGAGACTGTGGTTCATGAGTTAACTTCATAAATCTTACTATGAGTTCTATGCCAGGATACCTTTCCAAGAATTAGGTCACAGTGACCTATGCTTTGAGCTTTGACCTTAACTTTTGAAAAAGTTTATCTGGAGCATATCTTCTATACCATTTCACCTGTAGTAGCCAGATTTGGTTTACAAGGACATCTTGGGATGGCAGAGTGCAAGAATAAGGTCACTGTGACCTATGACTTTTGAAAAAGTTTGTAAGGGGCACATCGTCTATGCTATTTCACCTGGAAATAACCAGATTAAGTGCACAAGAACATCTTGGGTTGGCAAAGTGCAGAGTGCAAGAAGTAGGTCACTATGACCTCACTGTGACCTATGCTTTGAACAGTAGTTACATTCTGACAGAAGTGTACATTTTTGTAAATATAGAAATCATTACCAGTGGGGAACTTTTGATTGCCTTGCAACACTTAACCTTGTTGTGACAATGTTGTTGATAGGAAGCTGTGAATTGATATTGGCTCTAATGATGAATATGCCCTCATGCAAAATATGCAGAAGTTTTTTTTGTGTAGAAATTTCCTGGCATACAATAACAGTTCACGATACATATACATGTAATACTAATTCTGAACAAGCATAATCCAGTGTTTCCCTCTGTAGCTGAAAATGAAAATACATAGTCATGTAGATACATTTATGGTAAATGTGGAGCTGATTTCTTTGGAACTTTCTGTTGCAGAATCCTACAAACCTGGATCACCAGTGGTGCTGTTCGGGCTGTTGCAGCATGAACAGAAAATGTCCGTCTGCAACTTTGTGATCAAGCGTTGTGGAGAATCAAGATTTCCAATCAAGTCGAAAGAAAGACTTATATTTCATGCTGGTTTCAGAAGATTCTCTGCTTGTCCGATATTTTCACAACACACAAATGGGAATAAACACAAGGTAAACAGGACTACACTTTTTGAACTATACTGATATCACAGAAAAGGGAAGGGTGTTATCTCGTATAGTCAGTTATCTTTCGGACACCTGGTACTAAAGCAGGAGATTTCCAGGCATTGTTGACATGACATAAGTGCATTCTGTCATGAAGTCATTGTATTTTTGATGTGAGGTCATACAGTTATTTGGCTAGGGAATCCTTTCATCTCACTCTCGAGGTTAGACAAGGATATCTCACACAGGACAAAAGCAATACCCCTGTCCAGGGTATAAGAAAACCATGTCTGGTAGCGACAGTGTAGAAATATAAACCTCTTGCAATACCCTAATGAGTCAAAGCTTTTATGATTATTACTTTTTTTCGAAATTTGCCTAAAAAAGTTACATGCTGATTTAACCAGCTAAATTGTTCAAATAATGTACTTCATTTCAAATGGCTCCTGTTCTTACCTTCCAGTTTGAGAGATTTCTATACCATGATGTGGCTGCCATGGCGACCATCTATGGTCCAATCATGTTTCCTCCATCACCGGTGCTTGTGTTCAAGGAAATGGGAACAGGTAAAGAATTTATTTCTCAACTTCTTGTGTTTATAATCAGACCAAAATTATCTGTCATATTGATCTTAATGTGGAATGTTCAAAGTTAAAAAAAATCTGTTCACAATTAGTGAATACATTACAATATAGCCAGTGAAATTAAATGGTATGGTATGAAGATCCGTGTACATTATTAGATGCACATGCTCTGAATATACAAAAGCAGTAAAACTTTCTTATATTTTGTCATATCAGTACAAAGAAGTCAACCCTACTTACTTCCCTTTATAAGAAGTCGGCCCTACTTACTTCCCTTTATAAGAAGTCGGCCCTACTTACTTCCTTTTATAAGAAGTCGGCCCTACTTACTTCCCTTTATAAGAAGTCAGCCCTACTTACTTCCCTTTATACAAAGTCGGCCCTACTTACTTCCCTTTATAAGAAGTCGGCCCTACTTACTTCCCTTTATAAGAAGTCGGCCCTACTTACTTCCCTTGATACGAAGATGGCCCTACTTACTTCCTTTTATAAGAAGTCGGCCCTACTTACTTCCCTTTATAAGAAGTCGGCCCTACTTACTTCCCTTTATAAGAAGTCGGCCCTACTTACTTCCCTTTATAAGAAGTCGGCCCTACTTACTTTCCTTTATGAAAGTTTTAACAGAACGTTATTGATATTTATTTCAGGAGCACATGAATTGGTTGCCACTGGTTCTCTGTCATCGGTCAACCCCGACCGTGTGGCGGTGAAGCGTGTCGTACTGAGTGGATACCCATTCAAAATCAACAAACGTTCTGCTGTCATTAGATACATGTTCTTCAACACAGGTCAGTGAAATTATTACACCATTGTGTCAAATTACTGTTCCATGAAAGATACCTTTTTGTAACCAGTGTATTTAAAGTTGTGATCATCATTACAAGTCACAATGTTCAGATTGATTGTAGAATTGGATTCCTTGTAAACAAGACCCAGTTTATATTCAATAATTATGTAACATGTAACAGTAAAAAGGCCAAAGTGATGGCTTGTTTCTTTATTTCTGCTCAGTTTGATGAAAAAAACATATTGTTTTACATAGTTAGGCAGATCATATGATAAACAGAATCTTTAACTAGTCCCATTCCATAATGACTTTCATCAAACTCTCTGTAGCTTGTTTCTTAAAAAATTGATATGCTTTTTGATGTGATATTTTAATGGTGAATATTCTGTTCCAGAGGATATCATGTGGTTTAAGCCTGTGGAACTGCGGACGAAATGGGGAAGGAGAGGAAATATTCGTGCTACCCTTGGTATGTATAGAGTTTTAATTAAAAACGGAAGACTCATCATTGTCCTCGTTTTATACCGGGAAATTAACGCCCAGTCAAAATGTTGCCCTTCGCCATGAAATCAATTTTCACATTTCATTACTATGTTTATTTTGCTGTTTACTTATATTCGCTGTTATGATAAATTAGCCTTCATTACAGAGGGTGGGGGGAAAAGACAAAAATTTAACTGCAGCGAAAATTTCCTGGTAAACAGTACATTGTAAGCGTAGATTCAGATTGATAATTACCTGGTAAACAGTACATAGTAAGCGTAGATTCAGATTGATAATTACCTGGTAAACAGTACATTGTAAGCGTAGTTTCAGATTGATAATTACCTGGTAAACAGTACATAGTAAGCGTAGATTCAGATTGATAATTACCTGGTAAACAGTACATTGTAAGTGTAGATTCGGATTGATAATTACGTGGTAAACAGTACATTGTAAGTGTAGATTCAGATTGATAATTACGTGGTAAACAGTACATTGTAAGTGTAGATTCAGATTGATAATTACCTGGTAAACAGTGCATTGTAAGTGTAGATTCAGATTGATAATTACCTGGTACACAGTACATTGTAAGTGTAGATTCAGATTGATACACAGTTAGCTTTGATATTAATAATATTATTGAAGTCACCCTTATAATTCAGAGTGAGATTAAGGTTCCTTATTACTTTGTTTTGTAAACTGCACAGGTTTAAAAACATAGTATTTATCTGTGAATAGAAGTTTTGATGTACGAAAAATCCAGTCAAATAGGAATCAACTAACAGGAGAAGTGGGATATGACAGAAAACATTGAATTATCATGAGGTAAAAATTTACTTGGGAAATGAACAGAACATTCAAGACATCAAGGACTGTATTAAAACAGTTTCACTTTACATAAAAATGTTAACCTCGGACATTAAATTGTTATCTTTGTTCTTCACTCCAGGAACACATGGCCACATGAAGTGTGTGTTTGATGGTCAGCTGAAATCACAGGATACAATATTGATGAACTTGTACAAGCGTGTGTTCCCCAAATGGACCTACAACCCTTATGTCCGTTGTCCTCCCTCTATCTGTGATACATGTGATGATGATGAAGATGAGGAGGAGGAGAAGGAGGGAGAGGACATGCAAGCATACAAGATGTTTGACTGAGGAACACACTACAGCCAAACAAATTGTACTACCCCCTGTGTTATTGACAGGCAGATCTCAACCTGCAGGACTGATCCAGTTCAAGACTTCAATAATAAATTATTTATTCTTAACTTCACATTAATTCGGTAGACAGTGTTTTTCTTCGTTCAACAGGTATAATTGATTGAAATAATTTTCTGAAATATCTTAAAGAATTTATTATAGACATCATCAAGTTTATTTGTCACAAGAAAAGTGTTGATGTTTACCAATGTGCAGAGACTTTGAAATCTGGTCATTAATCATAAATGTGGAAAACAAACATGAGTGGAGATATATATGTCCAGTGGGGAAGTAACATCTCTGCAAGAGTGGTAAGAATTCCTTTGACAATAGTTATTCTAAACTGAAATGTGTTACAATAGTACATCTTTAATAATAATAGATGTGACTAGTTAACATTTCCAGTACAATGAGTTACAGATTTATGACTTGTTGAAATCTGTTTGTGTCCATTACAACGCAATTATTTGTTAAATGTACATCAAATGTAAATACAATTTTAACTGATGCTAGATGCTTTTGTTATTATTTACTATTGATAGCTCACCTGGCCCGAAGGGTCATGTGAGCTTAAGCCATACTGCAGCGTCCGTCGTCTGTGCATCAACTTTTCTTTTAAACAATTTCTGAAGAAGAACTGGATGACCTAGGGTCAGGTTATTCGGCCAGTAGGTACCTGGGATGGAGTGCTATAAAGTTTCCTCATTAAAATAACCTTGACCTACTTTCAAGGTCACAGGGGTCAAACATGTTAAAAACTTCAAACAACAATATCCTTAGACCCATTTGGAATAAAGTCATGATACTTGGGTAATGCTATGAAGACCAGTAGTGCGAATCTTTTTCTTAATAACAGTAATGAGGTCAAAGGTCAACTTTAAGTGCTTTTCAGTGGTCAAATGTCAACATGGGTTAAAAGCTTAACAATCTTCTTCTCAAGTCCCATAAGGCCCAGGGTCATAATATTTGGCCAGTAGGTACCTGAAATGGAGTGCTATACAATTTCATCATTAAAATGACCTTGACCTAGTTTCAAGGTAACGGATCAAATATGTTAAAAACTTTAAACAATGATATCCTAAGAAGCATTTGGTCGAGAGTCATGATACTTGGGTATGCTATGTACACCAGCTGTGCAAATCTTTTTCTTGAGTACAGTAGTGAGGTCAAATGTCAACTTCAAGTGTTAGCCGGAGTCAAAGGTCAACATGGGTTAAAAGCTTTAAAATTAAAATTTCAAATTTCAAACAACAATATTGTAAGAAGTATTTAAGAGATGTTAAAATGTCTTGTGTTTTTGTTACCAAATTTGGTCTGAAGTTACCGATATGTCAGTTTCTTGTAACAAAAGAAACAGGTGAGCGATACAGATCCTCTGGGCCTCTTGTTAAATTATGTATACATACAAGCTTCCTAGATCCAGCCACTGAAACCTGTCACTTGTCTTTATCCTCACCTTTACATATTCTGTTCCTAAATAAGAAATGGGCTGGCACATGTGAGAAGTGAATAAAGTTGTAGTACATTTGTATTCACAGTTCTACCGTTAAAGTGAAAGTAAACACACTGTGATAAAAAAGGAAGTAAATATATATATTTGAGTAGCCATAAACCAACAAAGAAACATGAGGCACATGAAAGTGATCAATGCATTTTTATAAGTGTACACTTTAAAATCATGTTTTTCAATCAATGCAAATAAAGTTATAAACACATCTATTTTTTTGTATTTAACAAATATGACTTGACTTCTATAAAGATAGGTTACAAAGAAACCCAATTTATTCAACAAGACCACTTGTGCTACCCAAATCATTAACAGGAAATATTGTTGTTTATTTTCCAATGGTGATCCAGTTTTTCTGTGCTCTTCAGGTGATCGTCCATTAATCATGGTACATTTTAGGGGGGGGGGGGGGTCAAAGTTCAGTAACATTGGGGCAAAGACATCTTTATAACAGAAATGTCCTTCTTTCATTTTGAATCCTAGCATACAATATTCATTAAAACAAAGAGTCTATTCCAGTTGTCAGGGAGATTCCTTCATTTGCTGCTCAAACATTTCACGCAGAACATTCATACTGTCGGAGAATCTCAGCTCATTCATAAATCCAGCATCGCGCCATCTGGAATGTAATAGGAATATTGTTCAGTACTGAAATTACATAAATCACATCCAAGGCAAGAGATAAGTTCGTAAATGTTTATCTAAACATTCTAGCAATAATCTGTAATATCAAATAAAGAAACCATATAGTTTTGAAAGCTAAATTCTTGTCTAGTCATGAAGTTGGTCAAAAGAAGTTTCTAACCAACAAAGGACACCAGCTTCCTTTAGACAAGTCTATAGGTTGTGAGGTATGACGAGCAGTCGCGATTAAGATCGTATTACACAGAAGGGCCATATACAGCTTGATTTAAACATTCTTTCCTTGCCGTGGTAAATCTATGCTATCCTTTGAACGGTGGAGAGATTACAAGGTACTTACGACTGTCGCACCATTTTCCATCGCTCCATGTGGCTCAGTAACAGGTGTTCAGGTGGTGGGGCCGTGTCTTGGTCCTATCAAACAAAGAACTCATTATAAGAAATATCATAAAAGTCAAATAAAGTGACAACTTAAGGCAGCTGCTTTCAGCAGATAACTAGTCTGAATGGATTTGACCTGGATATCATTATTTTCTCTCTCAAACATTAACAATTTGTTGCTCATAAATTCTTTCAATCAGATCTTGACAAATATACAAATCTTTCTTACAGATTTACAAAATATTTAAGCAGAAATTCTTGAGAGAAAATGAATTGATATCATGATTGAACAATAAAATGGCTAATCTCGGATAGACTGAAGGAGATAGTAATTCTGTAGTCTGCTTTCAGTAGTCGGAGACTAAAAACAAGAATACTCCCACCTAGTCTAGTCCAGACACGTCTAATAAGTGTTCAGTGACAGAACATTTTTATCTTTCACCTCTTGCTGTGACCTTTCATGTAACACTAAACACATTAATAAATGTAAGACAAGTGCTAACAATTGTTCCGATCAATCTATTAACAACAAATAACAGTTAAAACTCACAGCATCAATGTCGAGTTCCTCGTCCGGCTGGGGGACAGGCATGGGAATACGGTAATCCTGTATGACATCAGGGTCGGCTTTGATAGGGTCTGGTAGTTTGTACACATCGGGAAATATATCCTCCTTGAACAAAATAATTACAATTTATACACTCAACTATAACTGTCATCCGGAGGATAACTAATACCCCGCAGATGCCGTTAGTTTATACATCATTTATTGACCTTGACCTAAACTTTGGTGGACAAGTTAATTCGCATAAAGGACCGTGACTGGCTTAAAAACTTAGTGTTGAAATCTGAAATCAAAATGCCGGTGCACAACTACATAATATACTGGTCATTCAAGTGAAGTTTCAATAAAATCTGCCGGGTAGTTAAGATTGAGTTTTCCGGACAAGTTACTGTGGACGACACATACATACAGACAGACCGGGTGATTCCAGTATACCCCCCTAACTTTGCTGCGGGGGTATATTAAATAATTTAATGTGTATATTTATATTCTTACCTCTTGAGTAATTATGTTATACTTTTGAATTTGATTTTTTTTGATAATTGTCTGTATAATTCCTCTATTGAATTTTGTTGTTTTGGTGGAAAATTTTACAGGAACACAATAAAAGCAGCTGTGAAATGAGACGGGCAGATTTCTATACCTCCTCCTCCTCCTCACTGTTGGTCGGTGGTTCTGGCTCAGGGGTTGGAGTTCTATCCCTTGTCCCCAAAGATCTGTTATGAGGCTGGTTTTTGAGCCAGGCCCTACATACAGGGTAAAGTGCAGCTTCCTCATCAAACTGAGCCAGGTCTACACTGCGGTCAAACAGCTTCATCACATATGTATCTGTAATAGACATCAAATAATACTGTAAACACTGCAGTGATTTGAAAACAAAACAATTCCTTCTCAACTCTTTTTTTGTTTGGTTGGGACTGATCTATGTTACTAAAAACATTTGGAAATTCTGAGATGAAATCAAACACATTCAAAATTGTCATTTTCAAGATTCCTTCCTTGAGATTATAAACAAATATTAATTAATACATTATTTTTTTAATAGAATTTACTTCAAAGAAACCAGATACGCTTAAAATGGCATGTCTATATATATACTACATACGATGATACTGGCTACCGTCCATTGCTTCATCGTCTTTCCTCTTTCTTTTCCGGCTGATTCTGACAGTGCTACGTTTAGTTGGTGACAGAATGATGGCAGGTTCACTGCAATAAAAGGGAAATTATTATAACTATGTACTAGTTACAGATTTACAGTGAATAAAACATTAACTTACACATTATTTTATACTCCGACAAAGAATAAGATTCTTTTCATCATAGTAAATTCTGATATCCTTTCTATAAAGAGTACTTAATTTAGAAATAAAAAAGACGACAAAAAAGGTAAAAGTGAAATTCATATGTTCAAATTGATAAATCATCTTCAGATGATCACAAAAATTCTAAACATGTATTACAAACTTGACTAGTTTCATGTGAATCTGAAATTCAATATACATTTCATAACTTATTTATATCATACCTCTGCAACATTTCTGCTGGTGTACTCCCATCCTCTTCATCACTCGACAGATTTCTGTAATAGTTAACGTAACACAGTGTTCATTCATCTCTGATAGAACTTTCAGATGAACAATGTAAATACAGAAGCTCAGAACAGAAGAAACTAAAATATTGGGAGAAGACTCAACACAAGTCCAGTGTAGGAAGCCACTCTTAAATACTAGTACCTATTCACAGGACACTAGCTAACGATCAGTATACAGGCCTTGGTGCCCACTCATTGTTTTACATGTTCAATGTTCATAAAGTGACAGAACTGTAATTAATGATTCCTCTTCTTAACTCATTCGCCCCTTAAATTCCATAATGAACTATTCCAACCTTTGAAATGGAAGAGTTCAAATGTGTCTTCAGGGGTGAATGAGTTGAAGAAACAATAGATACTGATGAAGGATCTGTTATAAATTATTTAACCTTCTTTCATCTCTACTCACTTTGATGTTCTAGTTCTTTGAAGTATATTGATTTAGAGTTAACCAAAGATGCCATGCTGTTTGAGTTAACTCACTATTAATCAGCTCTAGACCTATATGTTCAATGTTCATAAAGTGACAGAACTATACTTAATGATTACCCTTCTTTTAACTCATTCACCCCTGAAATTTCATAATGAACTATTCCAACCTTTGAAATGGAAGAGTTCAAATGTGTCTTCAGGGGTGAATGAGTTGAAGACTTCAATTGTATACTACAGGAAACTTTGTGTCCAGATTCACACCCTTGTTATGACTGCTGTTGGACAACAAGTTCTTATTTCTGCTGTAACTATCTCACATGACATCAATTTTTTTTATTTTTTTTTTTACACATTTCACATTTGTACAAAGGGGTTGTTCATATAAATCTAAGTATTTTCTGTCACCTCATCTTCTTGAAAAGTTGCCTTATTATCTATTTTCCATAGCAAACCAGAGGTTTGTTATTTCATATTTAGAACCCATAATTCAGGGCTCGCACTGACATGATTGCGCCATCAAGTGCACCTGTAGTGCACAAATTATTTGGCAAAACTGAATCAAGAACCAGAGTCAGCCCTGATAATTCCATAGTAAATGTTGAAAATGTTGACAAGCTCTGACATTTCCAGTCCCAAATGGCAGACTAGTGAAATTATACACCCCTGTGGAGTGTGGACACTGCTCCTGTCTCATCACATCTTTACAAATACAAAATTGAAACCCATTGGGTGAGAAATATTCATATACTGTACCAAGTTAGGTTAATATCTATATCAAGTCATATATAAGATATTAATTTGATGAAGATTTGACCATGTTCCCAGGTAGTATGGCATTGGTGAGTATCTCCCCTGAGAACATAATTTTGCCCCCTCAACAGTACATCATCAAATGACAAGATCTTGACTTACCCTTCACCTTTCTTGTCGACTAAACTTTGAAGTGTAACACCAAACCGGATCCTGGCAGATGTGACTTCAGCTAAAAATAACAGAAATAATAACATAAATTACTTCATTATAGTTCGTCTGATATACTCCGAGTATGACTATGCTAATGAAGTAAGGAAAGCCCTTGACATAATGGTGGCAGTAGAAAATTACTCCTTGTTATAAAACTACCATGTGGTTACATTGTGGTAAACAGTCAGAATTTTTACAATATGCCTTCCAAAAAGTATAAATGTTAATTTCATTGTGGAATGTATAATTACCTAGCTACTTGTTCATGGCAATAATAACCTCCAACAACAAGGAATTCCATAAGCTGATTTTACAGAACAGCAATGTTGGGATCAGTCAGCGACTCACTTGATGAAATTGGTATGTTAATAGTGCTGGTGGAAGATGCCGTGTCATTTTCATCACTGACAGTAACACACAATATTATCTCGAGTATTAGGGAGTTTTATGCTATGTAATATGAAGACCTATTTATCGACTGAGCCAGTGATGATCTTCCATCTTATAGTTATAATACATATTGCCGGTAAAGGATATAGTAAATATATCCTAAATGAATACAGGGGTTTTGCCAGATATTTCGGGAAAGGGACCCCAAGCAAGAATCGGGAAAATATCATCGCATTTGGCAAACATTGGGAAAAATCATCAGTGTTCCCACGAGTACAGGTCTGGGAAAATATCATAAGTTTGGAAAAACAAAACCTGCAATGTGATTAGAAAAACATTTCTAGCTGTTTAATTTCTTACAGTACAATGTATAGCAATAAATAAACACATCAATTTTCAGTGTTTTTGTGTATTCAATTTCAAATTTTCATTATTTATGTATTTTGAATGCTCCTTCATGGACAGTAATACTTTAAAAGCTGCGCATATAACGACTGGAAACTTGTATAAACATGCTTTTTAATCCAATTTGGAAAATAAAGACTGAAATAGGGAAAATTCAGAGTCATTTTTCAATTGGGAATGGGTCCCTGTACCGGACCCTATAAACACCTGGCAAAACCCCTGGATGATTGAGGTAACGTAGAATCATTTGGAATGTAATAAACAAAAGTGGATATAATCTGTAACTACAAATGATGTTCAGGATTTATCTTTGAACTTTTGTCAGGAACTTTTCAAAAAGATTTTAGCGTCAAGCCCACAGCTATCGACCCTACGTTTTCTTTATGTGTTCCTCACTGCATTATCACGATTTAGTATGACTTCTTGGTCATAATCTGTAGTGCCATGTAGCATGATTGGTTAAGTTGTCATTCAAACCTCCACTGCATTTAAACAATACTTAAGTCTTGTAATTATTGATACTTAAGTTGGGGAGTGGGATACAATACGGCCAATAATACTAGTCACTGTCAGCATGGCCAAACAGATTGATACTTTACTACTGAAACTGACCATTTTACATTTACTTTTATAATAGGATACACCGGGATGGGTGCAGGGCTAATATCAGTGAGCCAGCCCCCACAAGATTGAGTCTGGGGAATACCTTTTTGGGAGCCAATAAAGACTTCAGTTCCTGTATTGACATTTGCTGGTATACCAGACAGTATTGCTGAACTTGTTACATTTAAAAGCAGAAAAACTCATCTGTCTGCATAAACGGAAATACGACTCTTACTGCCAACAGTAACGCGTCCACAAGCACAGGGGCATGAGAGTAAATCGATCCTGATATGTGGAATTACTGTGTGGTCTAGTATGGTAATGGAGAGTTTTTGGGGGTTAGGATTAGCAATAGGCAAATGTAGATTTCATATAATAATCATTAAAGGATTCGATTTTTACAGATACTCCAATCCAAGCACATGCACAGCAGCAATAGACCTAGTGTAAATATTGATTCCCAGGTCCCTGTGCAAAATCAGCAGTGTAAGTTTGCATCTTCTGATCTGCACCGAAGAAGCGGCTACAGTTGAGAACTAAGTACGAAATGGTTCTTTCGTTCACTTAACAATCATTACCAAGTTTAGATGATTTTCCTGACATGGTGAATGGAGTCGGGGTATGTGCTAGTAAAAGGTTAAGGTGGTACACAGACTCTATTTCAGATTTTCCGCCATTGTTGGTCAGACCCAAAGCGCTTTGTTATCTGGAATGTGATTCGCTGTTGAAAACCTGACACTTTAGTAAACGAACTTTGATTGGACTTAACATTACACAGGAAATAAAATTATGTGGACGTAAACATTGATCGCCGAAAAGATGAAAATTGCGAAGAAGAAGGCGTAAACGACAATGAACGGAGACACAGATGAGGGAAAGTATGTTAACAATGAAGATACGTTAACAATTAAAAAAAATCAATGTTTTCATTGGCAACATCTAAGTCCGTGATTCTATTTTTAGTGAACCATGATATTTGTATAGTTGACCCAAACTGGTCCATCCATAGGTGGTGGGCACGTCTATTAAAAAAATAAAATGAATATATAATCTAGTTTTATATATTCAATTTTTTTTTTTTTTGATAGACGTGCCCACCACCTATGGTCCATCCAACAAAATCAGACGACAAAGATAATATGAACTTGGATATATCTGACAAAAAGAAAGATTGATGATTGCGACGTTTGATTTCTTCTCTTTTTATATAATTTTGAGCGTTTTTTTTTTCGAGAAATAGGTATATTTTTGATTCAGGTGTCATTAATTTTACGAATACATGTATTTGTATCGGAGGAGGTCCTGTTTCGGTGCTTTAATCGTTGTGTGCATATCGTGCATGTTTGTTGAAGTCGTCGTTTTTTCATAGTAAAAATATCTGACTTTTATATATTTTAAGATTTTTTTGATGCCCAATATATTAATACAAAATATGATTGAATGTTTGTATAAAATGTTATTGATAAGCTCTTGTTTTTTTTTACAGGAAAAAAGAAAGTTGTGACCTATATGTAGATGTAAAATCCTCACAATGGCCTATTATCTACTCACCTGAGTATAACATTGGATTCCTGGGACTGGAGAAACTTCATCCTTTTGATGCTGGGAAATGGGGGAAAGTTTTCCAATTTTTAAAAGGTATTAATATATATGACAATATCATCAAAACACATAGTGATAATGGCCATTTATATAGTGCCATATCCTGCTGAAGCTAGCAGCTTTAGAGTACTTTACAATATATTTAAAGGACATACTAAAAATATAAAATGTACATGAAAAAACTACATACAATAATATAACTATAATAAAATGTGTATTATAAAATACTTCGCCCAATTTTAAAAGATATACACAGTACGTACAGTGTATCATCTCTGGAGATGTGTATCCATTTCACTGTCAGGTGAAATATGAATATGTAAATTTGTTTATTGGTTTATTGGTTTGTAAAACAACTCAGATTTAAACACCACAGTTGTTTTAATTGATTGACTGGTACCCTAAAATCGGATTTGACAAAGACTACTACACATACTACACATACCATACTTTTAAAGGGGGATAGGCTAGTGGATTTCCACACATAGGTAAAATGATTTTATGAGAATTAACACATTGGTGTATCACGGAAAAGGTTCATTTATCAGGAATGTAATATATATTTGTCATAATTAGTCAGTTTTAAACGGGCCTGACACTATGGTACTTTTAAGGACTTAATGTTTTTATCATAAAATGTACAAAAAATTGACATTGTGAAAATGTATTTAGCTAATGTTAGGATTCAGCTAAGGCCCTGTACTATGTGTATACAATTATATGTCTGGATGTTTAGTGTTGCTACAGTATATATTTCAACACATGTATAAATATATTGTGATACAGACCATGGGATGATCCGAGATGACACCACAGTGAGACCACGAGAGGCATCAGAGGAAGATTTGTTGGTTGTCCATACCAAACAGTACCTTAATGATCTCAAAGTAAGGTCATCATATCCAACTGTATATACTATTGTCTGGGACTTCAAAATAATACATTCATGTCATGACCCATTCCATTAAATGCCATTGATCTCAGAGTAGCATATTCATGTCCTGGTCCTGCTAACTCTTTAAAGATTTCTGAAGTGTTCACCTTTAGTCTGTTACTGTCCTTATTAAACCTTCATACACCATTAGTACATTTACATGTAACTTAATAGTTTCAGCTTACCTGACCTATAATGGGCCATGTGACCTGAATTTTGTCATGGTATAGTGTCCATCGTCAACTTTTATTTTAAAAGACTATACTAGTCCAGAATGGCTGAAGTTATTTTGACCAAATTTGTATGGGGTGCCGTTTTGGTATTTATTCACAAAATGTGATATCATTAAATCGATTTTATGATATCATTAATTATTGTGTGATATCATAAAATCTAATTTATGATATCATAAATTATTTTGTGATATCATAAATTATTTTGTGATAGCACTAATTATTTTATGATATCACAAATTCTTTAAATGATATCACAAATTCCATTTTATGATATCATTAAATCGGGCTATTTTATGATATCATAAATTCGAATATATGATATCATTAAAAGAATTTGTGATATCATAAAATATATTTTTCTAAGGACTGCTCCCTCAGAAAGCGGACGTGGAATTAAAGAACGGTAACTCTGTTTGGATTGCCATTCGCGCCAATTTGACGAAGATGGATGGAATGGAATTGAAGGTGAGTTTAGGCCTAACGTTAGCGGTCTATATCAGAGAACGGTAGACCTGTTCAGACCAAAACGGGATATGATCTATCAATATATTCGTTCTACATTATTCAGTTAATTATTCTCGTCTCGGCAGCTCGGATCAGCACACCATTTAAGATAGACAATGCAACAAAACCAAGCGTTTAAATATACATCCTTGTTGTCCATAGACTAAAACTGAGATGGGGAGAACTCATTATTTCGTGCTAACAGTTTCTTATTTTATGATATCATTAATTCGAATTCATGATATCATTAAATCAGGCTATTTTATGATATCATGAATTAGAATTTGTGATATCATGAATTAGAACTTATGATATCATTAAAACGATTTTATGATATCATTAAAACGATTTTATGATATCATTAATTCGATTTTATGATATCATAAATTCCATTTTATGATATCAGAAATTCATTTGATGATATCATAAAATGGACTTTATGATATCCTTAAATACGTCTATTTTATCATATCATAAAATCGAATTACCGGGTAATGATTTCATAAAATGGATTTAATATCATATTTTGTGAATAAATACCAAAACGACGCCCCATAAATTTGTCATGTTTTGGCCTAAGGAGATTCAATGTTGGATGAATTAAGGTTGTGTCCTTGTGTGGGGACAGACGTGCGGGGCCTAATGGGGAAGGGATTTAAATCTTACTAGGGTATTTAGAAATAAAGGACATTTTTGAAGGAAAATTGCTTCTTGAGGATGGATGAAAAGATTTTAATTTAGCATGAAAGGTGTGCTCATTCCCTTCCCGTAGGAAAGAAAGACAGGGTACAAAAGGGGAAAACAATGGGCTGTTAATCACCTCTGGTGATCACATCGTGGCCACTACCAATTGAAGATTTTCAAACTCGCTTGAATCTAAGATGGCTGCTCTTTGATTAGCTGTGATGTTTTCAACATCATATACTTTCATTATGTTGATTTTGATTGATAACACTTTTTTTACACTTTACTGTTTCTCCCATGGCCCTGACCAAGTGTTCTTATGTTTTGGAATCAAGTCACTGTTTAAGATTGCCATCTATTCTCTGATTGTCGGAGACATTTTCAATTTCTTTTCAAATGTCACCTGGACAACTTAAGCAAAAGTTAATTTGAAATCAACAATGCTCATGAATTTTTATAGTTTACTAAATCTCTATTCCACTAGATCAACTTAATGATGTATAAATGTTCTGACCAAGTATCAATATTATAATTGTCTAATTCAAATTATAAAAGCAACAGGTGGGCTTTACAGGCTCCATGGACCTCTTGTAATATTTAGGCACCAATCATCAAATTTAATGGATTTAAGAATCATCATGGTGTTTTGTGCATTGTTTCCTCCCACAGCTCACTAACATTGTGGAGGGGATAGAGGAGGTACTATTTGTCACTCATTCAATCTTACATTCTGTAGGGTCCCCTCACACCCTCTGTGGGGTAACCTCGTCCCCGTGCTTCACTTTGCATTTTACCTGTCTCCCCGCTTCTTCCACTCCGCTTGATTTGTGTTGTGGAACATGCAGTATTTTGTTCTGTTGTAGAGATAAGGAAGCACAGGGACCAGACACCTGATAATTTATAAACTATACCACATCATATTCAGTGGTTGTTGTAAAAACATTCTATTATCAAATTGTTTCAATTTGTTCTCAACCTCTTTGAGTATAAACGTGATTTTCTCATCATGCTGATACTATTTATTATAAAAATTAATACTAATAAATTTCTTTGTCATAAAAAGAATGTTTTCTTGTATGGCTTCCTACAATTGTTTTGGTAATTCTTATATGTCAAGTCCCTGTGTTAATAATACCGTAATAGAGCCTTTTAATCTGCAAACAGTTTCAAACAAAATCTTTTGTTCATGTATATGTATGCATTACATTATGTATAGAATATTTTTTTATAATAAATATTATAGAAATTTTGAAAATATGTCTTGTTTATGTTGATATGGTTTTATTTGTAGATCTGAAATTTCCATAGTGTGGCATATATAGACCAAACACTTTATTTTATATTATTAGAATCCACAGTATATTGTAGCTATAGATTGCATGACATAGTGTGTATATATTCAATAACCCTATCCTCCAAAGACGTTTGTAATTCACTGGCTATAATGAGTGTTTCAGTAAAAGGAAACTCCTTTAATTTGTTCTGGGTCGAAATGGTGAAGGTTTGACTCCTGATGAGTGAAATATTTCAGTGCTATTCAGTATCTTACTTTTATTAGTGTTGTACCGTGTCATGCTGAAATGATACAATAAAAATGTCTTATACATCTGCCCTTAATGTATAAAATATTATAGGGGCGAGGCACTGTCACTTAGTGCTTAAACTGTCTGATATACATTACTGTGGATTCAATCAATATAACAAACAATTGCAATGTGTGACCTATTTGATCAGTACCTAGCATCATACAACTGTTGCGAGAAGCTGCTTCCCCATTTACCTATAAAGTTTAATGAACATCACGAGCAAATATTTATTTTTCATACCCAGGACGCACTTGTTCACAATCCCATTTATGAATGTTGTACAAATCGTATTGATGAAGTTGTACACAATTTAGATTAAAAGAGAAATTATCTACATTTTAAAAGTTACATCAATATAGAGGAAAATAATGTAACTTAATCCAAAAACACTTCCTGTGATCCTTGTGTTGTAGATAGTTTACATATTGTACTGTATGTGGTTCTCGTGATGATATTATATGGTTGCTATCAAAAATGAACCAATTTAAAGGGCCATAACTCTGTGCATTGTGGAGCATAATACCAAATTTCAGTACACATTATACAACTTTCCTAAGATACATCGAAGAATTACAAGTTTGGTAAATGAAGGGACTTATAATTTATTCATGCGAAACAACCGGTTTGTCTAGTTTTAAATATAACATTTTCAGGTATAAATCCTGGCGGACATATTAATGTTTATGCAGGCCTTGCAAGGCTTTGTCAAGGCTCGCCTGAAATCAGCATCAGATTACTAGGTCTGACCTTGTTTCATAAACGAATACCTTAGGTCCAACCATTTGGATCGCGATAAACGAAGACTGCCTAGTACCAAAGTTACAAAAGTATATATGCACAGGAAAAAATTGGCATAAAAAAAAATGCTGTATATGATAGCTCTCTGATATTGTTCCTGTTTTATAAATGGTTACCATGCTTTATAATACAGTGTATTTTTTTACTGGAACCTCAGGTGTTCATTTTACCTAAGTGTTAGTGTGGCACAGTCACTGCCTTTACATCCTTCCTAATACTGCCCTAAGCCTGTCATCATGTTGCATATTATATTTTTTGTGACCTCTGTGTGTGTATATATATTATACAAGAGGATTAAGTATCTAACAACATGAGTCTCCCTTTGGTGTTATCTGACCCTGAGTAAAATACATCTGTAACATGTGTGACCGGGTAAGGAGATTACACTTGGAAGATTACACTGGGAAACTGTTGTTGAGAAATATGGAAATTAATTGTCAGCATATCGTGCACTGATTCATCATTTGTTAGAGTACACCAGTATAATTTCTTGCTATTTTTCTGTGTCAGTTTACCTTATCAGCCATTCAAATGAATTGGCCCAGGCCAGGGATTTTTAAGAATACCTGATGCATTTTCCCTTCTTCCTTAGTTGTACATGTTTCATTTTATACTGATCAAAAGAAAAATGGCTGCAAGATGGCAGTCTTGGATTTTTACAGTTCAAAGTTATAATCTTTATATCTCGAAAAGTGATTATCAAATCTTTATCGTTTAAAGATTCCCCATGGTCCTTAGTTGACCATATTTCATTTTGATGCGGATCAGAGGAATACAATTACTTCCAGGTGGTAATCTTTGATTTTAAAGAAGAGTTTTAATAGCTCTATCTTCAGAGTTTCTAGACAGATCGAGCTATCTTAAATTCAATATAATGTAATCCCCTTGATCTTTAGTAATGAATGTTTCATTTTGATACTGATCTGTGGGTTTTGACAGTTTTAAGTTTGTTATGGCTATTTTTTTAAGAATGGCTTGCAAAACTTTTGAAAATTTTACATGTATAGGTTTCCCTTGGTCTTTACTTTTGCCTGGTTTTTTTTCACAACTAATTGGAAGAAAAAATGGCTGCTTATTTGGAATTTGTATGGTTACTGTTATCTACTTAAAGTTATAATAAGTCATGATCCTAGCTGTTTGTCCTTAGAACTGCATGCTCCAAATTGAGATGATCACAAAATCTAGTCTAGAACAAGCCTCTCAAAGATCATGTTGTAACTTGGTTTGCATGATCCCCTTTGAACCTGTACATACATTCGTGTTCAAGAATTAAAACAGAACAGATAGATTAGCTAATGCTGTTCCTATTGTTTGGGTCTTTATTTTAAAATAGTTGAATGCAGTTTGCCATTGTTGCATGTCCTGTCCAGTCTTTTATTCTACAATATTGCATCCATTTAGATGTGTATTGAAGCTATGTATTAGATAGTATAGTCAGTGGGCTGTTTGTCAGAAGTTATGTATTAGATAGTATAGTCAGTGGACTGTTTGTCAGAAGCTATGTATTAGATAGTATAGTCAGTGGGCTGTTTATCAGAAGTTATGTATTAGATAGTATAATCAGTGGGCTGTTTGTCAGAAGTTATGTATTAGATAGTATAGTCAGTGGACTGTTTGTTAGAAGTTATGTATTAGATAGTATAGTAAGTGGGCTGTTTGTCAGAAGTTATGTATTAGATAGTATAGTTAGTGGACTGTTTGTCAGAAGCTATGTATTAGATAGAATAGTCAGTGGGCTGTTTATCAGAAGTTATGTATTAGATAGTATAATCAGTGGGCTGTTTGTCAGAAGTTATGTATTAGATAGTCAGTGGGCTGTTTGTCAGAAGCTATGTATTAGTTAGTATAGTCAGTGGGCTGGTTGTCAGAAGCTATGTATTAGATAGTATAATCAGTGGGCTGTTTGACAGAAGCTATATATTAGATAGTATAGTCAGTGGGCTGTTTGTCAGAAGCTATGTATTAGATAGTATAGTCAGTGGGCTGTTTGCAAAAATTCTTGGTCTTGTGATGAAAAGGTTCTCATATGAATTTACATTTCCTATGATTTATCATTTTTCTTTTAAATTTAAGCTCCTTAGAGACTTGTTAGAATGAAAATTCTCAGACTTATTTACAAAATTTCTTTTGTAATTATGAACACTATGTAAGATCTATTGTGTATTGTATGTGTGATCTAGAAAGTGTGTTTATTTTTCATATCATTACATGTAGGGACTAACTAGTTAATTAAGCTTTGATGGGAACAAATAAACCAAAGTGCTACAGAGAAATTGGTTTGTTTGTGTTTTACATCCTATTAACAGCTATGGTCATTTAAGGACGAGCCAGGATTTGGTAGTGGAGGAAAACCAGAGCACCTGGAGAAAAACCAATGACCTGTGGCCAGTAACTGGCGACTGCTCCTTGTAGGCCTCTGACAATTATCTAAAGTTCCCATTAAAGTTTTTAATTGGTTTTTCAAGTTTTGCACTATATCCAATGTAATAAGGCCAAACAAAACAAATGCATGTGTTTCCTGTAACTTATTTGAAAAATATAGGGTAGAGAGGTAGGTAGCAAATTTTGTTTCAAAAAATAAAAAATAATGTTATTTGGTTTATAAAGTAGGGAAGGCATCAAATGATTAGGTAGGTAGGGTTACTGGAAGCACAAAATGTTCTCTGTTTGGCCTAATCAATAGTCAAAGCATCATCATAAGTCCATTGTCGTATATTAGGATGCCACAGTTAATTTGCTGTGCAGTATTCATTTCTATGGTTTTCAAAAAATGGTATTTAGTATTTTTAGGAAAACTATGAAAAATGTATTCTATTTGTATAGTTATCTGAAATGTACTGCATTTGGTATTATTAAGAGGTGATTATGGTAAATCTAGCTTTCATTTACCTGATATTTCAAAATGAACTGAAGGGAAGATTTTCGTACCTGTACATTTATCTCTACCTGTCATGGTTCACTAATAAGTTGATTTCATGGATAATGATACAGCTACTTAAGACATTGATACTTATAACATTCTGTTAATTCAATTTGAAATGATAAAAGATGTAAAAAATTGTTTACAAAAAAGGCATTTCATGCACTGAAAACAAGCTCAGTATGATCATGGTCATTGCTTGTATTCATGCAATAGAGACTAAGTTTTAGGTCTGGTTTATACAGGTTTTTAGGTCACCTGAGACAAAGTCTCAAGTGACCTATTGCGATCGCCTTTTGTCCGTCGTCGTCCGTCCGTAAACAATTTACATTTTCGACTTCTTCTCCAAAACCCCTGAACCAATTTCAATGAAATTTTGCAGGGACCTTCCACGGACAAAGGTCAACAAAAATAGAGGCCGGTTTAGTCCCAAAGCCCAAGGGGCCTGAGGGGCGGGACCAAAAAGGGTCAAATTGACTAAAATTTCAAAAATCTTCTTCTC